AAATAATAGACGGGATGTAAACGAGTTGTTATCATCTCACCGTCTCCACCCAAGAAGTTGATGAAGACAGTCCCGCGCTTTGTGCAGCGGGCCGTGCCATTCGCAGTCTGCACCAGGATGGGTTCGCTGAGATCCTCAACTTCAGCGAGTCACTCATCCGGTTGGTAAAGTGCATTGAAGCACCAGAGTCCAACATCCAAGTTGGGTCTCCGTCAGGGTAGGCTCCATTTCCACCCTCTAGGACGTTCTCAATCTTACATTTTCCCTTACATTTTGAACACGCAGCAAATTCTTGCGCGTGACAACAATGTATATATTTGTACAACGAATTACCGATACATTCGTTCATTGTACGCGACATAGATGCTACACTACATGCGGCTGTGGGTAGCGCATTGTCAGTGTGTCGCTGGGAATGTGAAGATGAGGGTACTGACCTGGCATCCTCGTCCAGATCGAGCCCGGCGGCCATCGCGATGTCCTCGTCGACATTCTCGCCGACGTCCTCATCGTCCGACCCCCAGTTAAGGGGTTCCTGGGTCTCGGCCCAGGTGCCGTCGTCATACGAGTTGTAACCCGCGTTCACCTCGTCGATCCTCTCGGCCATGTCATCGTCGTCGTCGTCGTCGTCAGAGAGACGAGGGCGCTTGGATGTACGCGACTCTGCGTCAGAGAGGTACTCCTCAATCTGTGCAGAATTGTCGACGACCTGAGTGAGCGTTTTGAGGCGCTCGACCGTAGGAGACACGTCGACCTTCTCGGCCAACTCGAGGGCGCGTTGCAGCCATCACTGGCAGTTGCGCATGGGGCGCTTCTGCACAGGCGCACGCGTTTCGACAGTGCGGACTTTGCTGCCCGAAGGCGCGATGTCCACGACGTGGGACGTGGAGGGACCAGCCACAGACGCCTGCGAGGCGATGTGGGCGTGGTCGTGACCGTGGTTGCCGCCGTCCTTCTGGGCACGGGCCTTCTTGCTGCTGTGTTTACCGCGCTGCTTGCCCTTGCCCTTGTCGGCCTTCTCGCCACTGCCACTGCCGCCGTCATGGCGCTGCTGCTGCTGCTGGAAGCTCGGCTCGCCTTGCTTGCGCTTGACGGCCGAGATCTTCTTCGTGTCGTGCAAAGAAGACCCCTTCTTGCCCGAGCCTTGCTCAAAGGCGAGGTTGGCGGCGTGGCGGACATCCGAGATCTTCAGCTTCTTGACGTCCGTTGTTTGCAGCATGACCTGCACGACGTTGTCGTACCGCGACGGTAAAGCATTCAGGGCCATCATGGCCAGAAGCGCGTCGGGGAGCTTGAGATCATTGTCTTCAAGCTTTTTGCAAGCGTCGATGATCTTGGCGAGGAAGGGAGCGGGGTGCTGATCAGCAGAAACGCGCACTGTCGTCGCAGTCCTGAAGGACGCGTAGAGGTTGGCGGCGTTCTGCTTGCTGTACATCGTCGACAGCATGTCCCAGAGATCCTTCGCCGAGTCGTTGTCTTTGACGATTTGAACGACCAAGTGACTGAGGCGCAGGCGTATCATGCCTTGCGCCTTCTCGTCCGCCTGGGTCCATGCAAAGACCTCCTGACGGTTCCTGCCGCCCTCCTCGAGCGTCGGGCGCTCACCGAGAGTCTGTCCGATCATGAACCAGACTTCCTGGCTCTGGAGGTAGGACTTCATGGCCTCCGACCACTTGGCGTAGTTGGAGCCGTCCAGGACAGGGACCATGTTGAGGAGAGTGTTGGACATTGTGTGAGAGTTGTGTAGAACGGGGGAAGCGTTGAAGAGCTGCTTGACGAAGGCGACATCAGCGCCCTGTCACACAACGGACTGCAGCCAAAAGGTGCTGTCCACACACATGGACTCAGTGTCCTCATGGGGTTTTAGCAGCGACGTGAATCGCGCTTGAGACCTGCAGTGTTTCCGCGCATAGTCTCCCCCTGGCTTCAAGCCTGTGAGGGCGATGCCGCAGGTAAGCCAGTGCGCACCGAGTCGCAGCCATTAAGGCGCAGTACTCAGGCGTCGACCGGGGCTCATAACCTGTTGAGCAGACAAGGTCACACGTAGTGGACCGCGCTCTAACTTACCTGCTTGAAGGTTGTATACTTGAGGCACACAAGTTATTCCGTGAGGGAAGAACTGGAGAGAGAGCTACGCTACTGGTGGGTCTTATATACATCTGAGAGATGCTGACTAATACTACTGTATAGTCCATTCCCACGCATGACTTGCTCTATGCGGTAAGTGCGGATCCAGCACGTGCGGTGCGATCCGGCCCGTGGAACCCGGCGGCCCGGTGGGCGCCTATACGGTTCAACACCCGGTGGCTTCGCTGCTGCCGCGTCCAACACTTCCACGACCAGTGGACCCGCTCTCAGCCGCAAGGGGAAGGAGAAGGAGGTCAGCTGGGCCGACGATGTACCGCCCACGACGAAGGACCCGTGAAAGCGGACTGCATCTTGGGCGGCCAAGGATAATGGTGCCGACTCCGGTGCCGAGGAAGGAGAGATTAAGCAGCCGTCTTCCAAGAAGGCGCGCGGCTCGTCTCCCAAAGTGTTGAGCACTTTCCCAGTGCCGACCACTCGCGAGCAGTGGATTGACATCCGCAACACGTCCACTGTGGGTATGCTTGCCCCGGATCTCACCATCGATCAGGCTCACCGTCTCGGGATGGGATTCCGGTCCTTCTTCGGTTCTGGCTCTGCCACGGACCCTTTCCAGCCCCTGTCTCAGCTTGATGCTGCTTCCCAGGCGCTTGTCCCGGCTGCGCCGGCGTCCTCGAAACAGGTCGCCAAGGCCGCGCCCCCCGTCGCCCCAGCTCAGGCCACTGCGCCCAAGCCAAAGCCTCCCCCGTCTGCGCATATCCGCCAGGGCAACAGTAAGGACGGAGCGAAGACGATCATCATTCATCTCACCCAGTCCCTCTCCGAGTCCATCACACCCATCAGCACGGAGGACTTCGTCAATTGGTTCAACCTGGCCCTCAAGGCTAAGGGGAAGATCAATCAGGCTGTCGGTGCTAACATCAAGCAATCCGGCTATCGGGACGTGTTTGTCGCTTGTGTGAACTGTCCTGACCATGATGAGTTCGAGGCGATCACTGCGGCGGTTACCGAGAAGCTTCGCGCGCTGATTCCGCACGATGATGTTGGGATTCAGGTCGAGTACCAGACGGTGCTCACGTCTATGGCAATACGTGACTGCAGGTGGAGTTACAAGGACGCCCGGAACACGCTTCAGAACCGCGGCTCAGATTATTTCTGGAACACGCTGAACGAAGCTGCCAAGGTCGATAAGCACACCCGCAATTTCGTGGAGGCATGCATACCGTTCCACAACTTGCCGAACGCTCGGCTGGAAGGCAGAAACGGAGGAGGCAACATTGTGTGTGCCATTCGTGATGCTCACAGCGGGAGACGCGCTATCGCGCTCACCAAGAAACCTGTCCTCCTCGCTGAACGTGACGGTAACGGACGGGACGTGCTGACAAGGCACAATCTCGAGATCGTGGCGCCGCTTAACAGCAAAACCCGTGCTCGACCTGTTGGCGCTGGGGGCATGGAGCCGCCCAGTGCTCCTTCTGTGCTTGCTGCCCTCGTTGCGGCGAGTCGCATTACGAAGACGAACACAATGCTTCCGTGTTGTGCTGCGCTGAACACCATATCGTGACGGGCGGGATCCCTGATCTCTGCCCCGACAAACACAAGTATTGCCCCAACTGTCAAGTCAGTGGGCATGGTCCGTCTGACCGGTGTTGCAAGTTCTGGAAACGGAACATGCAAAAGGCCTGGTTCGACAATGCGGTCAAGGGCATTGAGAAGGTGGTCGACCAACAGAAGCACGTTGATAACGTGATCCGCACCCTCAGAACCAAGGCTAAGCGCGTGGCGAAAGCTGCCGCTGACGATGTTGCTTCTGGATCTGGTGAGACCTTTGAGGCTCGCATCGGAGAGGTCACGGGCATGCCCGTTGATCAATCCTAAATTTGTACGTTGCCTAATGTGTAATACACCCAAAGCACGTGCTGACCAGGGGGAGCCAGCTCGCTCTTTTCCCCCAGACCCTGACAGCGACTTCAGTGTCCCGATTGAGAATATCCAAGAGGCGCTTGATGTGTTCCTCGAAGATTGGGTGGCGGACCCTCAACTGGCCGTCCCTGTAGCTGCTATGAGTCGTGTTGATGACCCTGTAGTCCCTCGTGTACAATATCATATACAATTTGTTTCTGCCAATGTACAGAAATCCGCTGAGAATACGCATCAGCTTTTGGAAAAGTTCAGAGATCACGACGTGATCTGTGTCCAAGAAATCTTCTGGGGTCGCATTAAAAGTGTACCGTCCAGTAAGTCCAAGGATGGTGACGAGTATGAAAATACTGTTGCCCATCGCAACTTTACGTGCTTTGGCGCGTCAGCTAAATCCCGGGTGGCAACATATGTCAACCGGAAATGGAAGGGGGCTAGCCCCCACATGATCACAGGTACCATGTCACATCAAGACACGTTGCTTGTGGAAATGAGTACGCCGGAAGGGCCATTCTTGGTCCTGAATGTGTACAACAACAGTGAGAAGCATGCGGCGGTGAAACACCTGCTGAATGTTACTCACGCTTTGCCAGCCGTCTCTGTGATGGTCGGCGACTTTAATCTCTGTCATCCTTCGTGGGATAAACGGACGCGTCTCCACAACGAACACCCACCGCATGGGCGTGAAGTTGCGGAATTATGGGATTTGGCCACGGAGCTTCAGCTCTTGCTGGGCAATTCAGAGAATGGACCTGCCACTTGGCAGTCCAACAACGTCATGAATGCAGCGCGTACCTTGGATCTTCTTTGGCACCGTGGTGATCATGAGGTCGTGGACTTCAAGGTCCAGACTCAAGCCAAACACATGAGCAACCATTCGCCGCTCACATGGGTGGTTGTATCCGGATCTCCACCGGAACCCGAAGCGACGATACAGCGGACGGGCGTCAAGGTGCACATCTTCTGTACAAATGTTGCCAAACTGATATCACAGCTCCCCACCTCGTGGGAAACAGCCGAAGACATCGAACACACTGGTGATGCCCTGTTCAATGGCATCACGGCAGAATGGAAAGCTGGGGCAGCCAAACCTGACCGCACCGGACGATCCAAATCTTGGTGGAACCTTGAATGCAGTAAAGCAAGCAAGGCCGCCAGAAAAGTGCGCAAACAGTGCAAAATCTCACGTGCAATGGTCCATCATGCAGGAAGTACGCTCGGGAATCAATCCCAGCAATTCCGGCTCTATTATGAGTGGCACAAACATGTGCAACAGCGCCTCAAACAGACACTCAAATGGGTTCGAGCGGCGTCCCGCCGCGCAAAACGCACCTTCTTTGACAATGTGTTGTCAAAGGCCCACCCTCAGCTCATCTCCAACTTTGTGAGCTGGGCTAAACCGAGACGGCTAGATGCCGGCGCGCAAATTAAGCGCGCCGACGGCACACTGATCAATTCACAAGCGGAACTCCAAGAGGAGTTCCGAGAACAATTCACGCCTTCTGTCCCGAAGGCAATTGATGAGTCAATCCTGGAAGAACTTTGGTCCTTTGAGAAGCGCTCATTCCCGGATATCTCCAATGAGGAGATATCAGAGAACTTGGCAGACACGTCGAACACGTCTGTTGGGGGTGAAGATCACGTTAATTGGGAATGGGCTAAGCACATTTTCCACATGATCGAAGAGGTCAGGGATCGTAATGGCAATGTCGTTGATGTTGTTCATTGGGGCCCTAAAGTGTATGCTTTCTTCAAAGTGTACTACAATGCGTGCATCAAAATGCACAAATTCCCGAGTGTGTTCAAGTGCTCCATTACTGTAGTGATTCCGAAGCCCAACAAGCCGGATTACTCTAAAGCCAAGGCATATCGTCCGATATGCCTCCTCAGTGTCTTTGGCAAGCTCTTCAAAAAGATCCTTGCCAAGCGCATGCAGTTTGATGGCCAGAAATACGGCATCTTACATCCATGCCAATTTGGCGGTACTATACAACACAGTACTGTTGATGTGGGAATGCAGGTGACACACTTTGTGCAAGAAGCCTGGGCCAGGGACCTGACGCCATCTTTGCTTTTGCTGGATGTGTCTCAGTTCTATCCTTCAATCAATCATACAATGATGATTGCGATGCTGAGGAAGCAAGGGTTCGCGGATGATCTCTGCGAATTTTTTGCTGATTACCTTGATGGGAGATTCACGCGATATCTCTTCAATGGGAAGCTTACAGAGCCAACCTTGACCCCCTTGGGGTGGGACAGGGATCTGCGCTCTCACCGGTGAAGTCGGGGTTGTACATTGCACCCTTACTTCACAAACATTATCCTGTTGGCCAGCTATTGCCGGGCAATGGGACAATTCAATTCTTCGTTGATGACGGAGCGCTCATGGTTGCTGTGCCGAAGAATTCTTTGGTTTCAGGCAAGAGCCAGGTGGAACTAAACTGCGATTACTTGTGGAACATGTTCCACCAACTGCATTGCGATCTCGTCAGGCTTGGCCTAGGCGTGGAAGCGGACAAACTGGAGTTTATGCACTTCTGGAAAAAACGTGCACCATGGCGTGTGGATCGACCCTTTGGTCCGGACCTCGTGGTGCATATTAACAATCAGCCGGTTAGCCTTGTGCCAACCGGCAACATGCGGTATCTTGGGTTCTGGCTGGATCCCAAGTTGTCGTTCCGGTTGCACGTCAAATTTTATGCGAGCAAAGCAGCCAGCACGGTATCATCGATATCAATGTTGGGCAACTCTGTGCGTGGGTTCACGCCTGCACAGAAAAGACAACTGTACATTGCACATGTGATTCCTCTCATGTGCTACGGTGCCCAACTTTGGTGGAAGCCAAAGTGGAAAGGGATTAAGTGGATTGGCAAAGAAATGCAGACTGCCCAATCCAGAGCCGCCCGATGGATCACGGGGTGCTTCCGCACCACGCCCGTCGGTGCAATGGAAACTCTAGCCGGATTAGTGCCGGTGATGGTTAATATCACCCGGTACATGGAGCACTACGCGCTCCGGTTCAGGAAATTACACGAGGGACACCCTACAAGGGCAATCCTCGGGGACAAGTGGATTACCAATGCCACCAATGTCGAGCACCCCTTCCCTGAAGGGAAGCGCAAATCCGCCAAGACCCCGTTGAGGGCCCTTGGCAACATGGGGCTAGCATCGAATGAGGAGTTCTCACTCCTTAGTGATGTAGCCAGACCGGGTGATCGCCTCGTCGACATCGACGATGAGAACGTGATCACCCACATGTTCTTCCAGCTTGGAAAAAGAGACAAGCATCGTGAAGACATTGACGTTGGTCCAAAGAAAAAAGACAAAGACGGAAAAGTTTCCCAGGCTTTCAAAGACTGGGTAAAAAATGTTTGGACGCCCAAGGTTAATCACCTTGAGGCCAATCCAAACACAGTAGTGGTGTGGACCGACGGGTCTGCAGTCACAGAAGACGGTGATCTCGACCGTGTAAGAACTGGATCGGCGTATGTCATCACACGTCAATCCAGAAAGGTAGAAGGCCGGGCATTCAATGCAGGCCGCTCAACGAGCTTTGATGCTGAGGTCATGGCCTCGGCAAAAGGGCTAGAAGTTCTTGAAACCTTAATTAAGGACGAGGACAACACTATTGTGCTGGCAAGTGATAGTATATCAAACTTGCGGCACATCATAAAGCCTGGAGACGGACCAAGTCAATTGGTCGGAATCAAGGCTAATCTATCATTGAAGCGGATGTGCGATGGCCTTAAGCATCGCAAGATCATCTTCTTGTGGAGCCCATCTCATGTGGGCATAACGTGGAATGAAGAAGTCGACCAGATGGCTTCCGAAATCACTGGAAATGCGAGGATACCTGTGTCCTCGCACATCTCATTTGCCTTCCGACTCCAACAAATTCGGAAGGAAATGCTGCACTCATGGGCGGAGCTCTACAAGCATCCGGATCATGTACAGCGAGCCAACGTGGCGGGTATTCCAGACTCGTCCATTGTTGCGCGACCCAATGCCTACCTAGGCAAAAAATTCTGGTGGCACAAGGAATTGACGCCCACCAATGTTCGCAACCGCACCTTTATTTTCAAAAAGGGGTTGTCCGAATGGGGTAACAATGCAGACGCAGCTCGCTTCTGTCGTGTTATCACCAACCACTTCCCTTGTGGGGAATTCAGAGAGCGCTTCAATCTCCTCGGAGATGGGAACACATATTGCATATGCGGTCAGGGTGGACATAAGGAAACCCGTGACCATATGCTCTTCGAGTGCCCTCTTTCTCAAAGTCCTTTCATTGGCCCCTTCAGGTGGCACCAGACAAAGAAGGACACATATTACTCACGGTTCCAACGCACTTGGAAGCCGTCTGATGTTCTCGACTTCTTGAAGTTGAATCCATGGGTCGGGTCCTTCGAATGGACCGAAATTCTTGCGAAGTGCAAGGACGACCATGCTGCCGGATCCAAGCGCACAATTGCTTGGGCCAGGCTTAACACCCACACCGTTTGGAAACAACGGAAGTGGAAAGAAGTGCTGAACCGTATGGGCAAACCCCCACAATACATCAGCATATCAGACAAAGAGGTTGAAAAATTCATTGAGACCATCGATGCCAAATGCGAGCGCTTTGCGCTCGAGTTGTTCAACACGTGGGAGGCCTTCGACGCTGAGGGTGGTCTCCTGCATGAAGATTCGGAAGAGCTTGAGCTCTCCCTTGCCGGTGATGTTCCCGGTGACCAACACGGGATGCGTGCCCTGCCACGCATCCCCACGCCGGATTTAGACGCGCTGCTAGACCCCGAGCTTGTACTAGTTGCAGACTCGGCAAGTCAGTTGTTAGATGTGTCACAAGATACGTTGGAACAGCGAGTGGCACGTGATCGCATGACTGTGATTGGCGCCGGACCCGATGCCCAACGTGACCCGCTGTACCTCACTCCGTCGCCACAGGGCGGGTGAACAAGTATGGCTTACAATATATATGGCTCCACATGTACGTAGCATACGGAGGGTAAACATGGAGAATAAAAAAAAAAAAAAGAGTGTTGCGACCCCACATCATTGGTCATGTGACTGGCTAGTGGCTATTGTGCCTGTTCTGGTACAAAAGAGACATGTATACAAAGATAGTGATGTGTAGCTAATGTGAACCATGGAAATGTACATTTCAGGCAAGTTGTGGGAGGGCTTATTGCACAAGAAGTATCACAAAAGCTCACAATGCCCTAAATGGTGAGCAACCTTCCAAATCCAGTAATTCTTCATAAAGTGAATGTCTGGTGGTTCATAAATTGCAGATAAATCAGAAGATATTCATAGAGCACTATGACATGTTTATGAGGGATGTGCCATTTACAATATGTTACCATATATGGAAGGTAAGCTATAATACCATGTACAAGCATGAAATCAGCCAACCTTGCCCATTTTGAGCTCTGTTGTGGCACCATAAAACATTTTCATGATGTCTGACACACATGGCTATACTGTATAGGTCATGTGCTCCACATCTAGGGTGAAAATAAGCAGTTCAAATTCTGCAAAGTCTCTTGTGTTTTTCTTTTTGTATTTTGCATTTCCTGGCCTAACTAGCCACTATTGGGGCCCAACAAAATTACTGTAGACTCTATGAAACAAGGGCTACAAGTTGACTATATAATTGCCATATCCATTTGTGGGTGCTTACTGTTGCAAAAAGTGATTGATTCTATTGGAGCCCAGTGTTGCTGGTGAGGTCACATGCCATGTTCACCACTTTCCATATTCGGCTCCAAGCTAGATGTTACAGGAGTCCCAAGTCCATGGGGAATTGTCAGCCACAGCATTTGTTTGCAGGTGTTGGTGCAAGTCACGTTGTCTGAAAGTCTGAAATTTGAAACTCAGCTAATGATGGCATAGTAAGTGTTACTTATCTTTGATTATCTGGCACTCAAACAGTCATATGCACTGTGGGAAAAACCTGCCACATTGGGCTCCATGCTAAGTGTTACATTCTCTCCAGTCATAAGAACGATTCCTTCGTACCTCAGGGATCGTAACACATGGATGATGTGGCCTATTTAGGCAACATGTATCATCTGTCTATGCACCTCCACCTATGCCTAATACGGTAGGTATACCTGTCTCACCCTTACTGACATCATATGCCTTGCCTGTATCAGTCATTATGGACTGAACTCAGTGAACTGTGATGCTCCCATGGGATACACACCATTGCCTGCGGTCATATACCATATCACAGTAGCTTAAGTCACTTTGTCAGACACAATTGCTTGAAAAAACCAGTTGCAACTGGCAAAAGACCAGTCAGGACCAGTTGGGACTGCATGTGCAGTTGCAACCAGTCTTTGGAGGCAACTGGACTGCAAAGGACTGGTCGCAGTCAGTCCAGTCCCAGTCCTACCATTTTGGGGTCAATCTAGGACCAGTCCCAGTCCCAGTCTTTCCTCCAAGGGGTCAAAAGACTGGACTGGACTGGACTTTCAAACTCCAGTGGGGTTGGTGTGTCCCATAGCATGACTTGTCACAGAGGTAGTCCTCCGGGTGAGCAGCGACGAGTTTCTTGAAGTCCTCCAGAGAAGGGAAGAAGTTGGGAGAGAGGTAGGAGGCCTTGGCTCCAAAGGTGATGCAGCAGTGGAGGATACCGCTGGCAATGGTGCCAACCTTGCCTATGTTGTCAGGATGGAAGGGGCCAGAGGGAGATGTTACCGCGCGACGGCCCCTAGCGAGCTCCCGGAAAGGCAAGCACTTGTCATCGTTCTGCGCACACCAGCACTGAAGAACAGATGGCGACTTGGTCAACTTTGCACCTTCCAGGAGATGGGGGAGCACGCCATAGCAGTCCATGACAAAGCCCAAGAGTGCATCAAGACCGTGAGTGTCAGAGTTGGTGAGCTGCAGGGGAATGGTAGGCGCAGGGGGAGCAGAGGAAGATGGAGTGGAGGGAGCTGGGATGACACCGGCACGAAGTCTGAGGAACTCAGCAAATGCATGCACATTGGGCAACATTGGCTGAGAGAGAACTGGGAGCTGGCAGAGATCATAGTAGAACACATCCAGACGGTTGGAGGAGACAAGACGATGGTGCTCATGAGGAAGGAGAAGAGATGCCTCCACGCGCAGGTAGATGTCCCAGATGCCATCCAGAAGGAGGACATCAGAGGTGCGGAAGGCAGAGATGATAGCGCGGATGAAGAGAGAGTGGAGGTAGGAAGCAGTCTTTGTGGGGAAGTCGAGCCACGTGTGCAGGGTTGCATGGATGAAAGTGATAGATGCACCACGACGCAGATCAGGCAACTGGTACCGTGTCTGTGGGATGGTGGCAGAGCGCGGTGGGAGACTGGGGAGGAAGTCCTCGCACTGGAGCTTCATAGAGTTGTAAGACTGGAAGCCCTTGTCCACAGCACGTGCAAGACGTGCAAGCCAGTCATCAGTGTCAGAGTCACCTTCAAGGACTTTGTTGCAGTAGTTGACCGCAACACGGTCCAGCCACAGCCATGCATAGTAGTTCATGAGCATGACTTCAGACCACAGAATGGCACACTTAAGGTGCTGGACCCAATCAGCGTGCTTAAACTGGGTCTGAGCAGACCAGTTCTAGATCAATGCAAAGTCAGACATGCTCTGAATGCATCAGAAAACTGAAGGACTTGCACTTTGCAACAAAACTGCAAACTCAACAGAGCATGCAGCGGCAGAGTCCTCACCCTCCATCGCGTCAAAGAGCCGGTCAAGCATCTTGCACGGTACAGAGGCTAAGTCTGGCTGCTGCACGTTCAGAACACGTGCAACATTGCCTAGACTCTTGTTCATGGCATGGAACTTCCCCTCAGTGAAGAGAGAAAGAACCGCCGCATACGCTAAGTCCAATGTGAGTGATTGAAACAAATGACACAAAATTGAGACTCACGGTTTGCACTTGTACTTCCAGAGGGACCCGCTGCATCAGACTCAGCAACACTCTCATCAACTTTGAAAAAGAACATATCTGAGTGAGAAATTCACGTATAAAATGCAAAGTCAATGGTGTACCTTCATCATCCACACCCTGCAATGACGCTGCAGGTGGACCCATAAGGTCATCCAGAGCTACAGAGGGCTGAGCTTGATCATCCTCTCCATCAGAAACATGGCGAGCTATGAAAGAAAGCATGAAATTGGAACTACTACAGCGCAACTGACTTCTTACTGGCACGGCAAGGTCGCAAAGTCCTACCACCTCCACGCTGAGCTGGCTCAGCAGACCCACTAGCCTGACCAGCTGCAGGTCCTGCTAAGGCCATCACACGTGCTGAACAACGTGGACGGCCTATGACTTGAAGAGCTATAAGACAAACTGTCAGTAAAGCCAAAAAAGCGCAAAAAAGGCGCAAAAAAGCGCAAAAAAGCGCAACAAGTGCTGCAAAGCTAACAAAAAAGCGAAAAAAAGCGCACCATCTTCGTTTCCTAAGTCCAGATGCACTGTGAGAGCCATGAGATTGTGCTCAAACTGTACAACTATGAGACTACTCACCTCGCTGTGCAGGTCTGCTATCAGCATCTGCACCATCCTCCTCATCGTGCGCACACTTCTTGCCCTTGGTCTTCTTCGGCTTAGCGCTGCCCTTGGCTTGCGCAGTCTTCTGTCCACTCTTGGAGGACTTCACTGCAATCACCAAATGAGCAAGACAACACAAGAGAACATACAAGACTTACTGTGTGCTTTGGACCCTGAAAACCAAGTCAGAACAAGTCCAGAAATGCCTAAATGCAGCACTTACGTCCAGGACACGTCACTGGCACTGGGTCGGGAATCTCCAATTCATGGCGGAGGGCAACAATGTGCTTGTCATACGTTGCACATGGAATGACAGCCGCTTAGTGTAGCTTGTGCTCCCTCCAAACCTGAGCACTGCGCTCATCAATGGATGGATGAACGTACTCAGGTTCGTCAGGCCGATGTTCAAGGACAGGAACAAGTTCCGTGTCAGAGAATGTGATGGGCTGGCCCTCCTCATCAACCGCAGAGAACGCTTTGAAGAACGCGTCTGGGTCAAGAGATGGGCCCACATCGGCCTGACGCCACAAAGAGAAGACAACATTGTACAACTGGCGCACCAAAAAAGACGCAACGGTACGTCTGTCCCCAATGTTGAGACCATCAACAGCGTAGTTGAGCTTGTTGGTATCCGTCTTGAAGTCCCGGTCATACCTGAAGATGCATCAGTATGCTGAAAAACAACAAGTCCAGGACTTACATAGGATTGTACATCTCCGGTGGGACCTTCAGCACGTCCCGCGCAAGCGCACCAAGCGCAAGCATGGACTGACCATCCATGACCCGGCTCATGGGGTACATGATATGGTTAAGACGCAGTGCGTCCTCTGCAATCTCGACAGAGGGGTCCGTGACATACGGACTCATCCCCATGTGCCAATGAAGGCCAGAGAACAAGACGGTGAGTAGGCTAGACCTCTCCGTCTCGTCCTCTGCGAAACCGTCAGGGAGTCTCACATACGTGTAAGACTCTGGAAACAGGAAGAGCCCGGGGTGGATGCCCGCGTGCAACTTCGAGAAGACGGTCATGACAGACATCGCACCTATGGAATCATGCTGATCCTGGTGCAGCCCACCAAAAAAGCCCAGAGACTCTGACAAGTTCATGGGCCCTGCATAACACGTGTCAGAAGTGAACACAAATAAAGAAAAAGACTTACCTTTCTGCAGCTCTGTCAGGTAATCAGGCGTGGAGATGTTGAGCTGGCTCCCACCAAAGCATACATTGTCCACACTCCCCGGGCGGAAGTACCCGAGGAGCTTGGCCTGCAGCTCCATGCGGTGGTGAAGCTCAGGCTGGACGGTGTGGATGACATGAACTCCAAGTTCACCGCCCACCTGCAAAATGATAAGTCAAAAAATGTGAGATGCAACAACTCTTACCTTTGCAAGCTCCCTACGTATCTTTGCATCCTTACCATCCCCACCCACGAAGGACTTAGCCTCCACATTGGGGGACAGGACACCATTCTGGGCCTGCTGGGACTGGGTGATAGCATAGATACACTTACGGTCAGCGGTACCTCTCAGGCCCTTGTTGAGCACGAGACACTCAAACTTGGTGCCTTTCACCCAGCCCCTGTCCTCCTTGACAGGCGCCTCACGGGAACACTGGTCAACCGGACCAATGATCTCACTACGGAGGCTGAGGTAGCGCTCCTGCAGCTCCAAGGGCATGTCCCTACGCAGCAGTGAGCATGAAAAACAATATAGAAACAGAAATACTTACCTCTGGGCAAAGATCTGTTGGCGCAGGATGTCATCGTCCCAGCCTGGGCCGGCCGGCAACACAATGTAGACAGGCAGTGCGAACAGCGAGTCACATGGGCGCAGAACGTGCCACCCTAGCAATACATAAGCTCTCATTCATGACATGGATTGCATGCTTACCTTTGTCCCGTGTGTTGTCCTCCAAGACGTGTGGGAGATCCCAATCCGGCAGCTTCCTCGCGGTCGTCACAGCAGCGGCACGCTCGCTGTTATTGATTAACGTGAGGTAGCACATCGTGTTCGCATCTCCGCTGGATGGGTTACGCAGGTGCTCATTCACCTTGAACAGCAGAGGAGCTGACTCGGGGCAGTTAGCCACCGGGACCCACTCCCCAGGTACATCCAAGATGATGCTTGCAGGGATCCCAAAGGGATATGCAGCAGAGGTGCTAGAAATGGTTAGTACTGTATGTCATAATGAAGGATTGACCACTTACTAGATCCATTTGCCTTCAGAATACTCAAGTTCTCCAGGGAAACCTTTGGGGAGGACTGGTTGGTCTTGCTGAGGCTATAGTGCAAAAAAAGCGGTATCAGAGGCTGTTCACTGCAGAAAAGCTACAGGGATGGCATATCTAGGCACTCACCATGACAGATGTTCGAAAATCTGGGCTGGATGGCAAGAATACAGGGGTGCAGAGGCTGGAGAGTCGAGGAGATGGAGGTCATTCAAGCGAAAACCACAGAGTTCTGCGTTTGGCGCCCGTGTGCCGTTCGGAGGTGCAACCGTCCGGAAATTCCGCACGGTTGCACCTCCAAACGGCATGACGGGCCTGCCGCCCTGCCAAATTGACGGGATCTGAACGGAGGTTCAGACTCCGTGCGGTGCCGAGACGCGCGCTCAAGCGGAGTCCAGAATCACCAGATGCTGGCATGCTCATGTATGAATACCTGTTGTTAGCACAAACAGGTCATACATAAATCCCAGAAGTTACAGTCCACCTTCATGTATGAAGGCACAGTAATCACTGCAGCTGGCGCCCCGCTCACTACCCAAAAGGGCAGTTGCCCTTTATGGACAGCCCAGGTCACCTGGCGCCAGGGAGAGCTCACGGTGGCAGTGCCTACCCAAAATAGGTGCTGTTGCGTGCTCTTCCACTTTGGGTCCTGTCATCGGGTGAATGCAATTGCAATGTACAATCAGTGAAATCTGACATTTTCTGGGCCTAGGTACACCTTCCCGATTTGGTATGTTTGACACCCCGACAATTCGTCATGCTTTCACAAACACTGCAGTCATAAAGGTGACATGTATTCATGCAATGTCAATGTACAGTACTATGACAAGTACTCTGGAATGAGCACGGATAAGGTCCCAAGCGAGCAGCCCCACATGCTTGACCTCGACGTCCTCCGTGCACTTCGTCCCACGCTTGCACCCTTCCACGACCTGCACGACGTGCTTGGGGAGGTGCGACGGCAGTTCAGTGTGCCCGCGGCGTGTGCAAGGAGCGCGTGCGTGGTGGTGAGATGGTGGTGCATGTAGCCACGGTTCCGAGAGGTGGAGCCGGTCGTGCTCGCAAATGCGAGTGACTCTACATACGGGACGGCGAAGAGTGAGGTTGTAAATGGTGTGCGTGTGCGAGCCACAGTAGCTGGAGAGGTGGGTAGGCCCCATCCGCCTCAACTCCATTGAACCCGCGCCAATGCAGGTGTGTTTGACATGCTCCGTGCTGTACTTGCCAAGCTTGGGTTCGTGGGCGTAGACAGTGGCTCGTAGGCTCCAGGGGATGAACTGATATGTTAGTGACAGTGTTTGGGAAGAGGTGGAGGGGACATACAGGCTGCAGAGGCTTGACACCGTCGATGATCACTGTACACATAACACTGCCCAGGTAGTCCACAGGAGCCCTGGCTGCCCTGCTGGTTGACACACTGCCGTTTGTACCTGCTGATGCACCAATTGTACCCGCTGACGCACCGTTTGTAGTACCTGCTGATGCACCGTTCGTGTTTGTCAACATGCCACCATTTGTACCCACTGAAACGGCCGCAGTTGTACCTGCTTACACTCCTGCTGGTCAAAACACCGCTGCTTGTGCCGGTTGACGCACCGCTGTTCGTGCTGGTCCAAGGGTTGGCCTAGGGTGGGTAGATAGTAGAGCAATAGCAGTACGTGGGCGAGCCTTGTGGGTGCCCGTTAACTCAACATTTGTATCTATTTGTTGCCCCACCAAATTGGCCAACTCCAATGTCCTTGGGCTGTTCCTGGCCAATCAGAACATGTTTAACGGTCCTACTTAGCCCTGCAACATACACGTGACTCGCGTTCTGGGTGCCTTTCACCGTGTATGCATCCCTTGTAAGCTAGAATAGGTATCAGACGTATGCAGAGTGACATATTAACAGAATCTACAAAACAGGTGAGATGCAGTACAAGCTGTTCTCGTGTACGGTAGGGATGTCTAGACTCTACACTAGTGTACTGAACTGGTTCTATGAGTCTCGAGTCATATTGAGTGTTGCGGTGTGATATACACTAAATTGGTTGTTGTCATTCATTGGTGATGTTCCAGTGATATGAATTATGTTCCTACTACTACTAGTACTCTTTTCTAAAGCAGCACTCGCTGTGCGTGTTGGTCCATGCTCGGTGCTTGCCCTCTCGTCCGTCCGCCCTCTTGTTCCCTCCTGTCTGCCTACCCGCTCGTCTGTCCACCCATCCGCTCATCCATCCACTTGTGACTCACCGGCCTGCTTTCCCCATTATCCAGCCCGTCCGATTGTCCGCCCGTCAGTTCACCCATCTGCCTGTCTGCCTGCCCGCTTGTCTGCCTGCCCTCCCACTCATCTATCCGGTCACCTACCTGCATGCCCGCCTGTGCGCCCATGTGCCAGCTTGTTTGCTCGCCTGCGTGGGCATCTGTCGGCTGTGTCTGCACGATGGGCATTTGCCCAGCTCGCAGTGGGCATGTGCTGTTGTTTGCCCACTTGCCCGTCTCTCCTACCTGTCAGCTTGCTCATCTGTCTGCTCTACTATGCATCCGCGTACTCACCCGTCCTGCCCTTCAGCCTGCTCGCCCGCCTGCTCACGTACCTACCTGCCCGCCTGCTCACGCGCTCGTGCTTGCACCCGTGCCTGCAGTCTACTGTCGGCTGTGCTTGCACGTGAGGCATTGGCCCTGCACGCTCACGGTCGACGTGCATGTGCTGTGCATCACCGCGTCCTATAAGCATGGTCAGCTCGTTTGTTGCTTGTGTGCATCTGCACTCACCCTCTGTTTGTCGGCTGCACCTGCGTGCAAGGCAGTGGCCCTACATGCTCGCCATCGTCATACGCGCGGTGCTCTTGCGACATTGGCGATCCGACGGTGGTCAATGCGGCATGGTGGAGGTCGCAGGAGGTCGCAAATGGCGGGTGGAACCGCTCGCCGCTTGCTCGGCTCATTGTGGCCTTCCGGGCTTGTCCGAGACAGATGCCACGCAGCGGGCAGGTCGGCGGCGCAGGGGATCCGAGATTGTACCTGATCTCAGATGCGCTGACCCCGATGTGCACCCATATGGGGCAGCCTTGCATCGCACGCCAGAGGTACCGCCCTGCCAGGGACGAAGGGGCGGGGCTGCCCCGGGGTACCTGCCATATCAGGTAACGACTGATGGCGCCTTGTTCATACATGACGGCGCCTCGCTCACACATGAGCAAGTGGCAGCTCATGTACTATATCAGGCCAGGATCTCAGCCACCCCTAGGTAGTCAGTCACTGCACTCTCACTTCATCACCACCCCTCCTATAGCTATGAATAAATTTGAGTGCATTAATAAACATCCAATCAATGCCTGTGCACCATCTGAGGTCGATACATTGAGATCTAGGTTCAGGAGAAATCATTCAATGAGATGATGTCCATTTATGGTAAGCAATGGCTCAATCTCCCGGACCCCTCAATTGAACTTGGCACCACACTTAAATGTGAGCGCTTGTGAGCCTTGCAACCTAGTGTATGATCATTTGTAAACACTTAGAGCATTTCTACAGGGTTTGCGGCCTATGCAGGTGGGTGTAGGCATTGTATGGAACTGTTTCTGGTGGTGTGACCGACTTCCTAGTCGGACAGGCTCACCCTACTCTCGACGCAAATTTGTGTACTGTGCTCTACTCAGTGAGTCTATTTTTTTTCTAACATTTTTCCTGTGTTCTTTGGACATTTTAACAGTGCCCTACACACTCCCTGAGATACATACAGTGCACATACAGCGAGGAAGGCTCATCGAGTGCTAAGGTGGCCGAGATCCCGGCCCGATATAGTATGAGAACAGGCCCAGGTAAGTACAGGCATTTATGTATGATCACTTTGTGCTCACGACTGGTGTTTTATACAAGAAAATGCCTATATGGCCTGCCAGAATTGTGGCTGAGGGTGCTCGAGCGATCCTCCTCGCTCGAGCAGTGTCCCTCAGCTTCGTCGCGTCCAACAACGTGCGTTGAACGTCCCCCAACGAGACGGGAAGGAGTAGGAGGGGTTAAGGGAACAACAAGGTGAGTAATAAAGGGGAGAGTCATGCACGAACGGTTGCGCACGAATCCGCGGCCATCTGATGGCCCTGGGTAGTGATCTGTGCACCCAGGGTGGTACTCACTCACTTGACCTCCACCTGCCCGTCCCGCAACCGCTAACCGTGCACCGCATAATGATACGCGCACAACTCTCCCATGATGGGAGAGTCGTGCGTCGATGTTTCCAGTTGAACGCCCAGCCGGGCTAAGCCCCTGGGGCACGATCTGTACACCCAGGGTGCGACCCAACACATGCACCTCTACCCGCCCGTCCCGTGCCCGCTGCCCACGCAGAACGTACGGACACGACTCTCCCAGCATGGGAGAGTTGTGCGTGAACATTTCCACGCAAATGTTTGCCTGCGCGAAGCTGCTGGGCGGTGTTCTGCCAACTCAGCCCCACGTCCACCTCCTCAACCTCTATCCGCCCGTCCCGCACCCGCTAGCCGTGCGGAACATACGGACATGGCTCTCCCAATGCTGGGAGAGCCCAACACGACCATGTCCGTGTGTGCGCGCAACAGTTCGCTCTCCCTGGGTCGACTTTGGTCGACCCAGCCCTCAAGCCCCTCCTCACCCTCATACCTCACCCCTGCCGTATGTGTCTCGCACGGTGGTGGTTGCGACGGACTCTCCCATGCTGGGAGAGCCCAGTGCAACCATTACCGTGTGTTTGCACGACGGTTTCGTCCAGCTGGGTTGACAGAATTCAACCCAGGCTGCTGGCCACCGCTGACTTCCGCCCAAGCTGTCCCGCGCTCATTCGTAGTGTGCAGTGGTCATGTAGGGCTCTCCAATGCTGGGAGAGCCCAGCGCGACCCGGTCCGTGCGCATGTGTGTCGGTCCAAACTTGCCAGGTGGACTTCTGTCCACCCAGCCCACCACCCATCCTTGATCTCCCACGTCATCCTTGTGCCATGTGCCGAGCACGGTGGCGATTGGCTGAGGCTCTCCCATGCCTGGGAGAGCCCATCCCAATTGTTACCATGCTTTTCCGCACACATATGGACTCGCTGGGTTGAGTTCTTTCGGCCCAGACTGCCCCCACCTACCACGTCCGCCGGACCTGGTCTTGCGCCCGTTCCAGGTGCGGAACACTTGTGTTGTGCTCTCCCATGCTGGGGGAGCCCAGCACGATCAATTCTGCCCAAACATTCAGCAGATTGATGCCTCTGGGTCGACTTCCGTTGACCCAGGATGCTCACTACCCACCTACCCCTACTTGCCCTGTCCCATGCCTGTTTGCGGTGCAGAATGGCTGGGTTGGGCTCTCCCATGCTGGGAGAGCCCAGCATAACTGTTTCCTTTGAAATGGCAAGGGTTCCAGGCCTCTGGGTAGACATCTTTCACACAGGGTACTCAGCGTGTACCAAGTCTGTTTGAAAATAAATTGTCATGTATGATGTTTACATATACAGTCTTGTTCTAGTGTCCAATGTGGTGATGGACATAATAATTGAGTTGTGGACACACATTCATATTTCAGTGATTTTGTTGCATATGCTATGTATGTTACTAATGTACTCTACAGTATGGTTCACTTAATCATATTGTATAGTGTGACTGACTCTATATATATATGCAATCAGCCATCTCCACATACTAACTCAATTGTAGATGTATTCTTGTTCACAAGCCAATGGATGAGTCATAGCTAAGAGCAATTTGGCACGTGCTCTGATGCCAAGCCTTTCTTCTTATCACATATAATGGGTGTGGGTGATTGCATTCCTCATTCCCAACCCCCATGTTCATCTCATTCCCCTCCATTTTTATTGCTAAAACCTGGCCCTTGCAACAGTCCCAGCCTAGACAGACTATCTGCATGTTGCCATGGGCATGCAGGTAGCCTGGCTTTGCTCGTTGACATAAGGTATGTACACATTTGAGTGTACAATGCTGACCTACTCGGTTCTAGAAGTTGCTGTTGTAATTGGTTCTGGGGGGTTTACTTTGGCTCTAGGGGCTTTCCTGTGACTACAGCCACTAAGAACAAGCATATACCATTTGGGTATTTGGGAGCCTCCTCGCTGGTATTTGGTTGGTGTGTGCTGTCACTTGTTTACAGTGTTGTTGGGTTCTGGGGGCATCATTGTGACTCTGTCATAACAAACAAGCATATGTCATTTGGGCATAAGAGGGCCTCCGCACTGACACTTGGTTGGTGTGCACCATCTCTTGTTTGTATGGGTACTTTGGATCTGACGGTCATGCTACACACATGTCCATATTCTAGATGCATATGATCTGGTACATTCTCAATCTGTATGCAATACTGCACTGATATTTGTTTCCAGTAGGGGCCAATATTGAACCTTGGTGACGTGGCATATTGCAGGCAGTAAACATGTGGTATGGGTGAGTGGTGCATTCCATATATGTAGTATGTCATGCTGATGGTTGTCAGCTTCTGCATCTGTATGTAGTATTGTATGGCACAACACAGGATCATTCACTCAAGGTACATATATCATATAGTCTCATAATATGAATTGAACTTATTGAACACATAGATGGAACTACATAGTCACTCTTTGTTTCTTTGTTTTATGTACAGTTTTCCCACTTCCTCTCATCCATGGCTGTATGAAGACATGGCCAGTCTTTATGCATTCATGGCTGATCTCGCTTATTTGGTTTATTTGCACCGGTGTACAATCTGTGGACTCTGTCTGTGTGACGTGTAATGAAGATCTGAAACTCGGACATGTCGGAAGCATGAGAAGGTCACGTGATTGAAATGATGCATCTTATCTGCAGCACATATCATGTGCGTGGCTTATCTGCAGCCCATACCATGTGCATGGACATGTGTATCAGACCTTGGCATCAGAAGCTGATCTTTTCAGCTGATGCAACAACGGGCATAAGGATGGGTGTGTTACCCCAAGAGATTCTGTCCTTTCCCCTTTCATCCCATCAACTGCCTAAGCCCTACATTGTCTTGTGAGTATAATGGCATTTTTGTGTCCCTTGTACTATGCTGATTATGATTGAGTACTATCATAGCAATGGCCCGTACAAAGCAAAATGCAAAGCGCAGCGTGGGGTTGTCCCACATGGAGTACCACGACAACCTCTCTGTGGCGGGAATTCATGCCTTGGCACAAGACGACCTCATTGAAGACGAGCAGCCAGATGAGGTGACGGACCAGTCTGACAATGATGACATGTCGTTTGATGATGAGCAGGATGATTTTGAATCCATGGTGATGTGTCTGTTCCTTCAGTGGGTATGCACAGACTGATTATCCTGTGACACTAGAACTGTGTCATTTGCCACAATGGCGGTGGCCTCATCAACTGCGACATTTGTCACCATGACGTCTGCACAGACTGTCTTGGAAACATTGACATTGCCACCGTGCAGGAAGACTGGCATTTCCTGTGTCCTTCTTGTCATGTGATGACCCTTGGCAACTCCGACAAATACCATGTATGTAACATTTGATGTGTCCCATTCACGTCTAAGCATTGTGTAGGCCTTTCACAGCCATAACGGGTCTCGGAATGTACACTCCGAGCCATCCCGTGTGACAGGCACCATGGTGGCTCCTCAGCACGCATTCTGCTCCACTGCTCCAGTGGTGATCTTATCATTTCGTCTGAAATCACTCACCAAGGAAGCCAGTATCCCCGATATGTTCCATATGAACCTCAACAGCTACTTCTGGAACACAAAGGGGAACCTTTACGATCCCTGAGGTACGAAGGTATCGTTCTTATGATGGACCACCATGAAACACCTTAGTGATTCCTCCAGAATGGCAGTTTCATCAGGGAAAACCGCCCAAACCACCAAGCACTTGCCTAGACTCCAGGAGAACCAAAAGTGTCAACAAGAGTTCTTGAGCAGTTAAACAGCACTGGAAAAGCCCAATCACTTTCCAATACAAGTCCCTTAATCTGAAGACCGAGGTTTTGACGGAAACCACTTGGAATAGTTAACGGCGCTCCGCGGAGCGCTTGCAAGAGGCGTAATTAGGCGCCCATGACACCCAGATGCCCTATTGGGGTTGATTTAGCTCACTGGTGAGAACTCTGTAACTCTCGTGAGAGCTTTCAGAGCTTCTGATAGTATGTTTAAATAAATTGAATGATTTTGCAGCGCTTAGAAATTGCTTCAGATACACTCTTAGAGGACCATAGGGTTCACAATTCATGGTATTCATCAAATTGGGCATTGCATACAATTGTGATATGTAAAAAAACATCCAGCGGTTGACGTACAGAGAGACACGAGGTATTGTAGCTGGAGGGGTGAACGGCAGGCAATGATACAAAAGGAGACCTGGCAAGGCATGACGAATACAGACATGACGGACAAGTATTTACCATCGACCAGCAAGGTCGGAGACATCAGGGTAGTCCTACACCGTCTGTTGACATGAAGGCAATGTTGTGTTATAAATGAACGTCAGACAATACCACTATGCTCACCTCAGAGTATGCCCTTGCTTCTCCCATCCTCAAGCCGCCGGCAGCGAACTCTGCGTACTCGACGAAGGACCAGCAGCCTCCTGATTAGCACTCGTGGAAGGCACCTGCACGTTCTTCCGCCAGCGAGCCGACAGAAGATCCATGTCGAGGTTGAGGTTCAAGACCGCGGCGCGTGATCCATCTTGCTCCGCAACTTCAGGCTCGGCGATCCGCGCAACAGTTCTGGCCAGAGACCCTTCAGTAGTTCAAGTGTTTTGAGAAAATACTGCACCTACCGTATGCCATTGGCCAGCAATTTGTTCATTGATTTGACCAGCTTGCTGATCCCCTCATTGAAAGCTGGGCTCTTGGGATCAGCCAACCGTCACAGCATGTCGATACCAGCTTTGAAGTGGTCGTGCCTGCAAATAAATACGTCAGTATCAATGTTGAATCAATCAATTGATCTGCAGGCTCGACGCACTCCGGCGTGTATGTCTTCTCGTTGAAGTTAATGGTGATGTTGCCCTTGAGCGACTCGTCCAGAGTCACAAGTATCTAACAACTCCTAAATCAGACTGTACATTGTTTACATCACTAGGACACTCACCGTGCTGCACGCAAGGGCAATCATGTTGCTCGATAAAGGGACCGTGTTGATGTCGAAGTGTTCACGGTTCTCGGGGCGCAGTGCCTCAGGATGCTGCCCGAGCCACCATTGACGAGCCATGACTTCAGCGATAGCCTTGTTGTGGAACGGGGCGTCACGTTCCGCCACCCACAGCTGCTCCATGTGAGCAAACCATTCTGTTATCATCTGGATGGTCTGCGCACCGATGGTTCAACTTCAGGATCCGGCATCTTGAGGTTGCCGTGGTGAAAGGTATCCCCGTCCTTGAGGAACCGAATACGCGCCTCCAGGGCATTCTGCAGCTTGTCCGCACGGGTGACAGAGCTCAACCGGTCACCGTTGGGACCAACGTCTGACACCTTGAGGGACAAGAACTCCTTCTCCACGACACATTTGGCCTTCTGTTTCACCTCTTGGCGAAACTGCGCTGCCAGCTTGTAGACCTGAAGCCGTAAAAGTGGAAGTCAGCCAGATATCACAATTGAAGGCTAACACTCACCCTCCTACGCATTTCTTTCCTGATGGAGTCTATTTCGATCAGCTCATCGTATCTCTCCTTGAACTTGGGTGCCCGATATTTCTTGTGCTTGCTGATGACCCTGTCGTACATCATCAACAGAGCGTCCCACCTGTCGATGACCTTGTCATTCTTGCGGGGCCACGCGTTCTCGAGGCTCAGATAAACCCTGAACTCGAGCTGGGTGTGCTGCACCAAACTCTTCATCGGCTCCAGGTCGAGCTCGGCATATGGGTCCTCGTCCTTGGACGCCTTGGAGCCTTTCTTCTTGCCCTGAGCCTTGGCTTTCGCAACCTTCACTTTTGGCTGCGGCTTCTCCTCCGACTTCACAATAATCTGTTGACTACGTTAGTGCTGTAATCCATCCACATATTCCACATACCTCGTCGTCGTCGATGTCAGAGCCGCTCTCCTCGGCCTTGCTCTGGTCGCTGTCTTCCTTAGGGTCCTTGTCGGAGACTTGGTACGACTCGCTGTCATCCCCCGAGCCGTCCTCGGTATGCCGTCTATTCTTGGCGACCCCTCGAGCTGACTCGCGGGGGTCTCACAACTGGTTATTTAGTTAGCCATGTATACTCTGCAAGGCAACTCACTCTGGGACTCCCAGTTCTCCAAACTTGCATCGTCATCGGGCAGCTGATCCTTCTCGCTCTCCTCTTCACTTTGCACCCGCGCAACCTTCTTCCCACTACGTATGCCTGTCTCGCACAACGCAATAAGTCTGTCAAAGATGTGTATAGTGGTAAAGTTGGCTTACGGAGTCGATCAGCCACATCCTGCTCCTCCTTGGACAAGTTTCGCAGCGGAGGATCCATCGGAATGACGACCTCGACCCTCTTCTTCCCGGGCGATCCCGCTTCAAGTAAGTTGTGTACATTAGAAGCAAGTGTCAATACAAGATTATTGGCCACTCACGCGATGTAGTAGGGGAGCTATGCTCCCCAGATGGCACCCGCCTAGCTCCAGCCGACTTGCCAGGGCTCTGCGTCTTCGTCCTCTTCTTATCAGGCCCATCCGGAGCTCTCCCAACAACTTCGGCGTCACTGTCTGCCTTGTCTGACACCTGGTCAGCCTTTCTCTTGTGCGGCCTCGGGCGGGGCTTTGGCTTGGGAGGCGACTCAACTGTATAATCATGAGATAGCTCAGTGACCGTCTGCATCAACAACTCACCGTTCGCCACTGCCTTGCCCTTGACCTTCGACGCAGCCGGCTCATGCTCAGAGGGAGTCGAACGCGCCTCCTCGTCTCCGCTGCCCGGCTGCTCATCAGCCGTTACAACTTCAGGGTCATCTTCACCATCGGCATCCTCCTCCATCATAACCTTGCTCTTTGCTTGTATGGCTTCACAGGGGGTAGTTAGAAAGTCGACGCAGTGACGACCGCTGTGACGTACATTGCAGGCGATCCTTCTCCTCGGTGGGTGCCTTCCTCATGTCCGCAAGAAGGCGACGAGCCTTTGCTGTGACCTCTTTTTCCGAGGCATCTGGGTTCGTCATCCTCACCACCTCTTTCATGTGCTTGAGAGCTTCGGCATTGCTCGAGGTCGCAGATGCAGGCGCCGCCGCCGCCGCCTTGGAGGTCGTCTGCTTCTTTCCGCCGGCTTGCGGCTTCGACTTGCTGGCCGCGGCAGCTGAACCAGCCCTCGTTTGACGTGTGACCATAACTAGTTGAATGAAGAAGGCAGCAAGACAGAGAGAGAGTCAAGATGTGGTGGCAACGCACCGTTGATTGTTGACGATTGCGGAGATGCGGAGCAGCCGCCGAACTCCGGTCCACTGTCGCCAAGCATCGTTCTGGTAGCTCCGAGTTGTCCAGACTAAAACTTAGGCCTCAGACTTGAGCACAACACGTCAGTGTAGAATGAAGTTTGAGCAGCCCAGTAGCACGGCAGTCAGGGGAGGTTAAGCGGCAACGTCAATGTATTGGAATATATTCCCGTAGATGTAATGACAGAGGCGTCAATATTAATGGAAATGTTTGTTCCCTTCCCAACCGTTCCGCCCTCCATTCGTCCATTTGTCCATCTCCCTGTCTGTATGGAATACTATAGAAGCGCGGCACCCGACGAAGTGTAGATTGAAGTGAGTAATCCGGTATGATGGAAACACTACAAAGTCGCTGTTGCACAGTGGAAAGACGAGGCCGGGTTCGTACATACATAATTCTCCACCGGTGTGATCTCCGATAACAAGCACGACACACAGAGCTTTGTCTTGCCGGTCCCTGTGAGCTGAAGTGGTGACATTGAGGTTTACGACAAGCAACAGGAATGGATGCACTATTGAGTGCGCATTCCCCGGAAGCACTTCTGCGTCCATACTAAGGTCGTGGTACTCCTCGGGCAGCCAGCACTTGATCTATTGTCTTTTTGTCAGCCCAGATCAGAGAATGTCAAAAATGAAACTCTTGCATGCTCCGCCATCCATTCAAAAACACCTTGGAATATCTCCTCTAGATTCTGATATATCTCCTCGAACTTGCTCATGTCCCGGGAGGGGTAGGGGAGCATCTGCGTGTAGTTAGTCCGCGAATGATCGTCCTTCTCTGAGAGGATGGGATGGGAGCTCGTAGGAATTTCATGTCCCTGTTGATGCACCCCTTTATCAGCCTTGGGCCTACGTAGAGGAACCTAGTGTCAAACACATACCCTTGTTCCGTGACGATTGTACCATGAGAAGTGGAGAGCTGGGAAGCAGTACTCTTGGCCCTCTGACGCGGAGTCAGTTTCCTGAAGATTTGCGGACTGAGCCTCGAAGGCTGCCACCAAGTAGGCTATCAGCATCTGTTGCATATGATTGGGCATGGATGGGAACACGCATGCCACCAAAGAGCCGTGGCCGTCCTCGATTCTGAGCGGAGCGCTTCAATGCAATTAAGCTCTCCAGATGTGCGCAACCAGTGATATGTTATACCTGATAATGGAGGGCAAAACCCTCACGTATTTGCTGCGATCAACACGGCCACCGTCCCTATACATCCCCGACAGCTTGGACAGGTCAGAGAAATGCGGGTGCTTGGCGGAAAGGCGTACCTTGATCCTCAACTCAGAAATACTCTGAGGCTCTGCGGCTGCCTCGGCGAGAGAACATTGCTCTTCCGTCCACGTAAACACTTCGTCTTCGTCCTTCGGCACTGGGAAAGTGAGGTTCTTGTCCAGTCCCAGCTCGTACCCTTGCAGTGTGACCTTTTCCGTCAGCTGAGCAGGGTGTTCTGTGGTTTTGCCCTTGGCGCAGGGTCCCATCTCTTCTATTTCATCGTCGCTGACATCATCCAATTCAGTCAGAGGCAATGGAGGATCAACAATGTCCATGTTGCGACGTTCATGTCGGAACAGGCACTGGCTAATGGACGTTAGGTGGAGGTTCTGAGGGTCTTGGAGCATCAAAGAACACGGGGCCCACAGCAAGATTTCTGGGGATGGGAGTAAACGTGCTATTGTAGTTGGTGAATAACAGTATCACCAATTGATACGTAGAGTTCTGGAACGACTTACTTGAGATCCAGCCAGCTCAGAGCTTCGTCGGATTGCTCTAAGTTCCAGCATGCAATCATGTCCGTGGACATGCAGAGTTCGGTCAGGACATCCTTATGGAAGAGAGTATCGAACGTCAATGGAACTGATTGGCGTAGGCTGGCGACAGCTGGAATGATGTGTTCAATAACCGTCTGACCTGCGGGTGTAGCTAGTTCGAAACTCATTACACCACATACCAATATCAGGCATGTCTCGAGCACGTACCGGGATCCAGATCTCGAAGAACGTTGGACACTTGCCATGCGAAGTTCCCTATGGATTTCATCAGGGGCACACGCATATTTGCGATAGCCACGATTGCAAGAGTGTAGATAGAACCTGACAAGACATCAGTACGTTCAACCCTCCATCAGGAAAAACACTTGGGGCGCCCAACAGATTGGAAAAACCTTCAACCCGTTGGGACACCTTTCAATGTATTGGAACAGGTCGAGAGTGGTTGCAAGGTTCTGTAACGTCTTGAGGCAGCTTCTGCCATTTGTATAGCAATGATAACTGGTTCTACCATCTGGTTTGAGGTTTAAAATGTTTCCGCTGCTGGTGCACTATAAAGCGCTTTGGCCAACCAAGTTCAATCATTCATCAAATCAAGTCCAAGCATTGAACATCTCACGCATCAATGGCAAGTAATACACTGTTATATACAATCAGAACTACTGGACTGGTACAAATAGACGGACGTAGGACACTTTATACTATGCATGCAGTTTGGAAGAATAGAAACACATACGTCACGGTAGAACAGAAACGTGAAGTAAATTAGGCAGAGACAACTTGAATGTGGTACAACCCATCCGAACCGAGCTCCCAGACCTCCTCTCCCCCCAGTTCATCGCCGTCAATATCCTCCTCCATTTTCGGCTGCACGCCCGCCTCCACGCCTTCCCCTGCCAACTTCACAATGCACCCATCCTCTCCAACTTCCGGCCGAATGGCAATCCGCTTGTACGAAGGCCACCCCCGCACCACATGTGTCCAGGACGCCTCCATGTAGCTGCGGCGCTCGGGGAGACCCACCGGCCAAATCCAGTCCAGGCCCATGAAGTTGTACTTCATGGAACACATGGGCTTCCTGCCCACAATCGGCCGGCCCGTCGCATACCTATGCGCAAAAACGGTCATCTGGACCTCCGATTGCCTGAAAACCGGCACACTCCGCAGAGGGAGCGTCAGGCGGATGGGGAACGTCTCCTCCATGCGATGCGGCCTGAACGTCTGCAGCGCGGGGTCGTACAGGTCGAAGGTTGCAAGGCTCTTCCCCTTCGGCACAGGCTTATCATTGTTTGCGTCCCGTAGTCCCTGACGCAGGATGGGCTGCTCGAGCGGCCCAGGGATGGTTATCTCCTTCCCAGTGGCGTCGACAACCCCAATGAGAGGCACTGAGACTGGGTCAGACCCGTCCTGTACGTTGCCAAAGACATGACTGTGAACAATGGAGCTATGTCGCAAGACATTTGAGACGCACCGACACAAAGAACAGCCCCTCAACCAACACTGCTCTCGGTTGCCTTCGCGCCCCGGGGACTGGCGTCGGACTCAGAAGACGACGTAGGAGGTTACCGTCCCGGTACATGGAAGGGACGGCGCCCATGAAGATCCATCCCCCAAACTTGGCTGGGGGTCGCGCAGCTCGACGGCGCGCTCCAGAATCGTGTCCACGTCGTCTGGATTCGTCTGGTAAGAACTGAGACTCATCGGACATTGATCGGTTAGGCACTGGAGGGAAAAGAATGAAGCACGACGCTGCTCGGATACTTCAGAAGTACTCACATAGTCATAGTATTCCCCGAAGTGATCCTTATCCAGGCAGAGCACCGTAACGTGGTCGACGTTTGGGGCCATGGGGCACGGTGTTGCGTATCTGCAGTTGGCTTCAAATCCGTAAAGCGTGTCGTCCGCAATTATGGAGAGAAGGCGACTGTCAACGATTGGCGATGCAACCATAGTGAGATGGAATGGGGAGTGAGCAAGTGTTGGGATGTGTCGAAAGAAGGTTGCGACCACTTTGAAGACGTTTGAGTTGCAGATAATCGTTTATAAGCAAGTTCTCACCTTCAAGCGCCGAAGCCACACAAGGCGCTGGGCCACATCTCAGGCGCCCAGAAGAGCATTGAGATCTTGAGACGTCGCTCCGGTTTGGTGCTTTGATTCACCTGTGCGCCTCTTATGGGCCTGCCGTCTTATGTCTCAGTAGGTTGTTGTTCACCACAAGCATGTAAGATTTCAATGAAAGCAATCAATACAATAGACGTTACAAAATCTTAGCTTTCCCCCCACAAACCGCACCTCTTCCGTCCCTACACCCCTCTCCCATTCAGACTACAACGATGGGGTTCTCCGCGTCCGAGCCCAGTTTAATGAGCTTCTCCCAGCGCACCTCCTTGCCCTCGCCTGCCCGTCGCACCTGACACCCCGGCTGTCCAGGTCGCGGACGCACTGCCACCAGACCCATGGGATCAGGCATCCTCACCACCCTCCACTCTGCCTCCAGGTATTCGCGAGGCTTGGCAAGTCCTACCGGCCAGATCCAGTCCACTTTGATGAAGTTGCACTTCATCGAGCACATGGGCGGCATTGTGAGCGCTCTGGCAGCGTAGTCCATCACGTACGGTGTCATCGCAATGCTCGAGAGCTTCAGCACCGGGACGCTGGTGAGAGGGAGGGGAAGACGAAGACAGAAGAATCGGCTCGTCTTTGGTGGACCAAACGTCTCCAGGGCCGGGTCGTAGATGTCGAGGCTCGGGACGGGACGGGGGCCTGATCTTGGTTGTCGTTTGAACGGGTTCAGACCCGGAACAAGCTACGTATCCCAACTCCTACTGAGCTCGGAAAATCGGCGCCTAACCACCGTGATCTCCCCCTGTCATGGCTCCCGGACCACAGCACGTCCTGACGCTCTCTGAAGAGGAGAGTCAGGCCCTTCAATTGCTCTTGACCCAGTACGAAGATTTCCACGCCGCTCTACCTGCCGTTCGAGACAGATTACAACTTATCACCGACGCGGACAAGTTCTCGTACCAGTCAGACGAACACGGCAATGCCTTGGATGGGAATGGGGAGAAGATACACGGTGAGCGTTATTGTCTCTTGTGCTGTACGCAGATACATCTGACAACATGTTGCAGATACTCCGAACTCAAATGGGCAGGACGAACCCGGTCTGCGTCGTTCAAAGCGCTGCCAGACTTCCAAGAAGTTGACGCATCACCGGGTCACTCAGACGGCAAAGCTCGACAAGCAACCCACTAAACCTGGGAGAAGAGCAGACAGAGAAGTCCTCCCTCCCACGCACTGTAAGAGCGGCACCTCAGTCAAGAGATGGGTCAAGCGTCGAGACCAGTTCAACCAGTCGACGCCAGCCATCGGAGCATTCTTTGCCCGCCTCTCTGCATCTATCGACTTAGGCTCAGACGGCAGCCGCTCTCAGCTCTCGTCCATACGGGTGCTGTTAAAACAAGGAGACCATGGGAGCGGATTCCTCGACAACACTCTGGAATCGATTGTTCACAGATGTTCACGAATTACAACTGCCGACAAATGCGTCAGTTTCCTCCTCATCATGCATTACATGCAGTTGGTGTGCAAAACCTCAAAGTCAGTTCAAACATATTTGATTGTTCCGTCTATTAATCTGAAGTCTCTGGGACAGCATAAGACGCGCCAACGACCTGAGCGTCACCCAGGTGTATGAGAAGTATATCCAGGGTCGCCAGTTTGCGCCGAGCGAACGAACATTTGTGTACTGGAACGAGATTGGAAGCAAATTCTCGGCAATCGCATCAGGGGGTAGGTTGCTTGACATTACAGCGACCAAGTAATATGGCTCATGCGCCCTCTCTGGCAGGATCTATCTACGCTGTCCTGCTGGTAGCTCTAGCTGATCAGCGTAAAGAGCTCGTACAATCAGTTGGTCTCTTTGCTTGGACGGTCGCTAACGTTCTACGTGATCCCGACCCAAGTGAGTACTTCAACAAGTCGCGGTCACTTGGGCGGCGGCGCAGCTCGCCGTGACTAACATAGGTCTTCAGATACTACGGCAGGTGATATAGTCATTCAGCGTATCATTCCGGCTATAGAGCGTATACGAGGACAGCTACCTCTGCAATTTGACGCGCTGTACTCTCCTCAGATGCTGCTAGAACTTGGTGTGTCGTCGGACGCGCTTGATTGCTCCAATCTCGAGCACTCAGATAAATTGTTCGGCTCCTTGATACTCAAGTGAGTTTCCAGAGACGTTTGAAACGCGCTATGCTGATTATATATGGTGCTAGCAACTTCACTTCCGTGGATAGGAACAGGGAAATGTGGGCGGCTTGCCTACTTCCCAATGCCAATCCCCCCAGCGACGTGGTTCCGCTCACCCGGGCCAGTCAAAATCTCTTCCGCAGAGATGCCTACGTCGAAGGCGCGATTGACCCTCCCTCTCCGTTGTCTGATGTGTACAAAGATGAGGACGAAATCCACGGCGAACAGCCCGATGTTGAGATGACGAATCACAAGATACCGGGCACATGCATCGTAATGACGGACGTCAATCTCAGCCTCGATGGGCATCGTGCGTACCCGGTGCCTAATGACCATGAAGAAGCATTTGTTTGGACGGAGACTCAGCGATTGCTGGCTGCAGCAGCGCTGAAACCCGAAACGCCGGAGGCTTTGCAAGCCCTGGTATGTTCCCTTCATTCGATCATGCAACCGTGTAGGCTCATTCTCATCGGTTGCAACCTATCTGTAGCTGTCTCCCACTGTTCAAGATGGCACTAAAGGACGGAAAGCCAAGGAATATGTTGCCATTAGGCCTGGCCTCGCACCGTAAGCGAATATCCAACTGTTAACTCTGTGTACCTCACGGTTTGAAAGGGGTCCCATTTGAATCCAGGACAGTAGGGGGTCTCTCGTGGCATGCCTGTTCACCAACATGCCGCAAGAGATCCGCGAGATGCTCATATCCAACTTGGTTGCTTGTTTGAAGATCAGGGGGAGAATCTCAGAGAAACGTGCTCCTCATCGGAAGGAAGAGATTTCAGCTTCCCCGCTCTTCATTTCGCCTGGTATAACCGGCACGGGACAAGGGTCAGTGCCTCCATTCAAGTCTCTAATGTCCGTATGATACCTCTTGCTGAGGATAGGCTATCACAGGGCCATGATGTGCCAGTCGACGCACACCCAATACTCATTGAGAAAGACGACAATACTCGAACGAACTACGGCCAAATGCTTCCCTACCCGTCTCAAGACACCGGTAAATACAAAGACATCTACGACAATTTGCAATCCGTCTTCCAAAACCTGTTTGAATGGATGGCAGAGCAGGTATGTGGCTCTATCTACCCACTGAACTGAGTGGTTAAATATATATACAGCTCAAGGAAACGCTTTGCTTGGACTATGAAGACCTACGCATGGACGCGGAGGTATTACCTGGGAATGCCAGTTCTCTGGTCTATCCCTTCCTGTCACTTGTCATCAACCTGAACGTGGCCACTCTGGCTCACAGAGACAAGCAAGATAAGTCACTCTGTGTCGTCTTGGCGGTTGGAGAGTTCGACGGAGGCGAGCTCTGTCTGTACGAGCCCGGCCTAGCCCTCGGTCTTCGAAATGGCGACTTTGTTGCATTTCCTTCGTCACGCATTACTCACTTCAACCTCCACTTTACCGGGTGTCGCGCGTCCATTGTTCTGCACACGGACAGAGAGATAGACAGGTGGACAAAGGAAGGCCGTAACGGCTGGGCCGGCAATTCACATTTTCGGTAACCTTAGCGCCCTGTACGTACGTTATGCCCTGGGCAACCTTGATTACCTGCCCTGCAATGAAACCACGTCTCCTTGCCCGTTGGCTATGTTGTGGAAAACCGCCCTCATGCTCTGCCGCTGCCCATAGCTCTTGCAATCGCTTGAGACTATAAGCCCTTCGTCGGTCCTTCGGAGAGAGCGGACCTCAGTTCCGCGCATCTCCGCGTCTCCGGTTCAGAAGCTCAAGGTTTAGCGTTATGGCCAAAGTTTGAAGGTAGACTTTCAACCCCTAGTTCATCATCTTTGCTCAATCTTTTCACGCTCATCGTCTCACAACATGGGTTCGCGCAATACCCGATCATCTGCGGCCGCGAGCAAGGTCAAGACCCCGGCGGCGAGCAAGGCGAAGACCCCTGCGGCGAAGAAGTCTGCTGGCACAGGGGTGGCAGCCAAGTCTTCGACCAGCAAAGCTGATTCTCAAGCTGGTGCTGTACCAGCCATGAGCTATGCAGCTCGGCTCAAGGTTACGAAGGAGGGGCTGCGACCCGCATTCTCGCACATGACGGAGAAGGAGTTGGACGCACTGGCTCGGTCGACCATGGCTCAGGGGTCCAAGGCGGTCTCTGGTGAGAAGGAGCGTCAGGAAGGTACGTCCCCTACATTACTTTGTCACGGTACACAGCGCTACAGAGAGATGCAGATGTCCAAGCCAAGAGCAAGGCCATGATGGCCGAGGAGGAGGATGAGGACGTTGTTGAGGAAGGGTCAAAGGCTGGGGGATCTGACGACGGTGCTGGGTCTGGGACCGATGAGCTAGTGATACCGCCGAAGAGCGAAGGGAAGAAACCAAGTAAGTAAAATCAGTTCAAGTGGCGAGGGATGGTCTGAGGCTGCTCCAGGGTCACCGGGCAAGTCCACACCCATTACCAGGCCGCGCAAGAGGAAAAACGTGCCTTCTTCCGACCACGAGGACAGCGATGGCGAATCTGGGTCAGAGAAGCCCGAGAAGAAGAAGACCAGGACTCAACGTCAGGATCAGTCAGCGGAACAGGCAACAGCAGCGGGTGAGTTTGTCAGATAAGTTTCAGGATTGCGCATGTGCTGGTAAGATATCATTCATAAGAGCTATCAACAGGTAACAAGCGTAAGATCGTGGAGGTCACGATTACTTCTCCGCCGAAAACGCAGGCTCCGAAAGATGAGCAATCTTTGACCGCACACCTTGGTGAGAGAGCATAGCGTCCGCACTTCAGTAGCCTAACATTTTATCAGGCTCGAGGACTGCGAAGGCGAAGAAGAAAGCCGCTCCCATCGTTCTTGACAGCACAGATGAGGATGAGCTGGAGACCAGCGACAAGGAGGGGGATCCCCGAGGGAAGGAGACACGCTCATCGAAGGCTGAAGGTGAGTACAACACATTCCGGAGAAGGTGTCTCCATATGGTCGACAGGTTGAGAGACGTTTGACAGGCAAACGTGTGGCAAAGGGCAACTCCAGCAGGAGAGAGCCATCTCCCATGGACGTGGATGACTCACAGGACGGAGAAGGCTCTTCGTACAAGGGCTCGGACGGCGATGGCGAGGACGAGGATGAGAGCGCGGACCAGTTGTTGTCGAAAGACGAGGAAGCTCCGAACGAGGTAAGCCATCTCCGCCAGTTGAACTGTGGGCTGAAGCTTTCTCGGTCAGATGATTGTGAAGATGGAGGAAGAGTCCGAGTCGAAGGGCAAGAAGAGGAGGCAACCGCGGAAGAAGGCCGACGCGAAGAAGTCCGATGCGGGCAAGAATGAGCCTACCGCTGGCGCGTATGAGAAGCTCATGGAGGACGTCGACGTCCGCAGTCTTCTGGGGAAAGCCCAACAAGAGCTTAGGGTGTACCTTGCTCTGGAGAACGCTTGGCCTCGTATGAAGAAAGGCGTCTCCGAGAAGCATGCGGCGACTGCCGACATCGTTGAGCGGCTCATAACGAGCAATGTCAGGTACCAGAGGGAGGACTTCCAGAAGAAGTTCGAGCCCAACTGGGCCTTCCAGAAGACAAAGAACAAGATCATCGCATACGTACGTGTTAGCTCCCCTCATCATTCAGTACTAACCATATTCACGTTTTCCAGGTGAACAAGGCTGCACCCCAGCTTCGGCAGGAGCTCAAGCAGAAGGCGAAGCGCGTGGTGGAGAAAGAGTTCTTGTCTATCAGGCTGCCCGAGGTTGGGGCCGACGGTAAACCGGTGGATGCTGTCGAGCGCAACCAGAAGGTGAAGAAAGCCCGGGAGAATCGCATCAAGTTCTTGAAAGACAACAACACCTTTCACTACGGGCAGCTTGTGCTACCGGATCCCGAGGTTGACCCATCGGTAAGTCTTCGATCTTGAGCTCGCGGTGTGCTGCTAACTGACGCCACTCAGCTGTGGGAGGAGCCAGACCTGGACATGCCGTTCCATGGTCTGTGCGTGGCCGAGGTCATCGCTAACCAATGGTTCCGCGGACAGAACCCGGACGTGTTTCGCCCGGCGTGCAAAGAACGGTTTGACCTTGACGGTGCGTTGAAGACCATCCCAAGCAACATGATTGCCCTGGCGTGCAGTGCGGTGAGTAATTATGCCTACTGATGTGCCATTAACAAGCTTGACGATCCGAATGTCAGATTCTCGTGGCCTTGGACGAGTGGATGAACGACAACAACACGGTGGAATTCCAGGAGAAGGTGTACGCCCCAGCGTAGGCCACATATTACAGTCATCTCACAGGATAGTTCTGACACTCAATAGGTACGATCGCCTGCTGTCTGGCGTGGAGATGATCCGTCGGTTGGCCAATCCGAACAACAAGGACTATGACGAGGGCTGGGAAAACCTCTCGGAGTCCCTGAACGCCAGTCTGTCCAAGAACATCAGGTAGGCGGCTGACTTTATTTGATTACATTTCTAACAATCGTTCAGGGTGTTCGCTGGGCTTCGGGTGGATTCGCAGAGTGGGCAAGGCGAGGAGAAGTCCAATGCGGACCTAGACCCTCTCATCAACGCTGGGAAGGTGAAGGCGAGGTGGCGGTCGAGGGGTGGTGCTCCCGACAACGCTCAGGCTGGGCCGTCCAATGCTGCGTCCAAGGATAAGGCCTAGGTGCGTGGGTTATCTCATCAGTAGGTTGCAAGACTGAGCTATCCACAGGGCTCAAATGTTGGAGGGTCGCTTGTAAGATACTGTCTTTCCCCTCTCTCCTCATCTTTGCTGGCATCGTCTTTGCTGGCGTCATCCTCATGCGTATCATCTCCGCTGGCGTTATTGTGCTCTGTTGTTGTACCGCTCTCCGCTGCCCTCCAATGATATCCAGCCCCCTCACGTTGTATCCATGTCCACCGCATTCGCATACCCGTCGTGTAGGATTGCCGCTGTGTACCGTCGCCCATCACGCCCATGTACGAAATCGATATATTTATGACAGCTAATTCATGAATGTGCGTTATCCGGGCGGGTAAATAAATTGAGGAATAACAACCCTGAGGGAACAGCGGCCCTGAAACCGTGTGCTTTGAATCAAATGAGAGAGAACAAGAAAGTCATTAAACATATTTTTGCTATTCTCTGAAGACATTTCAATCATACCAAACTCAAATGTTCCCCGCGGAGAGCGCTGCTATGGATGTATTCATAGTAAGGACCAAACAACAACAACCTGATTCAAGCAAACGAGGCAATCTTGCAACTGGTTTGATAGATTTCTGACACCTTTAAACAGGGGTACTTGTATTGAGTCGTGTTTGAGCGGTTTGGTCGCTTCAAACCGGTTTGGCTATCTTCAAATCAATTCTAAGAGCTCCGGCCCTGCGGGCAGTTTTTCCTGATGTCCCAGATCTAACAGGTAAAGCCAATATACCTCCAAGGGCAACGGCTGCAAATTTGCTGGCCGCCGCAATCCAATACATGAATGTGCGACGAGGCGGGGCTCCAGCAAGTCCCCGGACATGACGGCGATAAACTTCTGATATGGTCAGCGAACCACGACAATGCAGACTGAATCAACTGTCAGATGAGAGTCTGCAGTGACGGTGACGGAACCTGCCTTGTGCATTTGCATAGCAATTGGAGATAGTGTATGATTGTTAGAAAGCTCACTGTGGTGCCATTGCGTTCGATTCGCTTGCATCGCTGCAGGATGGACGGCAGACTGTCATCGAAGAAGCCTTCGCCAACGTCCCCATCTCTCAGCAACCCAGCGAGAGATGTTGTACATTCTTGCAGTGAATTGGCAACAACCGCGCTTCCAAGTCGTGCCAGAAAAGGTGCTACAGACGGGGCCAGAGCCATCGCCGTCCTATTGCGTTGAACCCACTTTCTGACTGCTGCTCCGCCTGTCTTCTTTTTACAAGTTTCTCCAAAAGTGTAGTCAGCACGTCGATGATGTTTGGATTTCTTGGGCTTTGCTTGATGACGCGCGCGACTCGCGGTGTGCCTTGTTGAGACTGGTAGTCTGTTCGCAAGCAGTACTGATATGGAAACAATTGTGCACTCACCATTGGTCTCAGGCGGTGCATCATCCTCTGTTCCTGTCACCTCTTTCGCATCTTGGAGTGTCCTTAGCTTGTACTCCGGAGTATGCATCGAGACGTGCACTCACTAGGCTGTCCTGTCTCCTCCCACTCTACTCCTGTCACCCCTCCCGTTCCTTCGTCGTCGGGAAAGCTGGGTGTACTAGAGCGTGTCGAGGGTGCTGCTCGGCCCGTAGCTCCAAGCCAATTTCCCTGGGCATTGGCCGAGTCCCAAAGACACCACAGAACTGATTGGAGAATTCGGTCAGCCAGTGGACATTGCTCTAGAACCGCTTCGAGAGCAGTTGCCTCAGTTAGGGAGAGAACGAGATTAATCATGGGGTGTGGGCAGGGATCTGTTGCCAGTGGGTCGTCGGACATGGTCAGCGAAGACATCTGTTGATGCCCATACCGACAGCCTCACCCAGGCGAAAGAGGAAGAAGATTGGATTGACCTTGGCAAAAACGATGTACATACATACGAAGATTTGTTATACGTAATGTGTCCTTTATATATTCGTAGCTGCCACTGCCTATACATTGTAGGCACTTGGAACCCACACACCTTGCACCGCGGGCTCCCCCTTCACGATATCCCTCAAGTGATCCCCAGCGGTCGTCATAACCGCCATTCTGACGTCCGCAACACAGTGTGTGACCATGGACTTGACATATTTCATCGTCACTCGACCCTTGAGTTGCTGGGCAATGGGATACGTGTTGAGGTCGACTTCCTAGTTTGGATAGCCCAGGAGGTGCCTACTGAGAAAATTGAGGATGACGGCATTAATGCCGTGGTGTAGCGAGTAGAACATCCTCGAGGTGGGCGGATGCGCCGCCATGGCAGCGAACACTTTGACAGCAAGAACCTGTGATTTGAGCAGCTCGTCCCTGAAACGAGCTACAGCTGCCCGGGAGGCATAGGGGGAGCGAACCCATGGTTTGCCAACATCACGGGATATCTCCTACGTCCAGATGGAGTGAGATCTAGTAGAGTACAGAGGCATTGGAACTCACCAAAGAAACAAAGTCTTGCAGTACTCGGGGAAGTGCATGCTTCTCTATACTGGCGCGTCGGACCTTGTGGAAGTCCCATGGGTGTGCCAGAACGATATAGGCTCGAGCTGCTCCGTGGAGAACCAGATTGTCCAACTCCACCTGATCTACCGCCGGCCTTGCAGTGCCCCTCCTCCAGTAAACGGCGGGGGCGAAGGTGAGATCGTTGGTCCTGATAATCTGTCGAAACCCGCCTGCCTCAGACACTAGCGTTCTCTGCAGTGTCGTCCCCCTTCCCCATCGCCTCCCCAACCCTTTGCGAGCGGGTTTGTACTTGAAGAGGCCACTAGGGGTCGCCATGCGAGTCTTGGAGTGAACCCAAGTTCTCTCCCAGACGTGTGTGAGGAGCTTAGGTGACTTGATCTTTGACTCTCGCACGAAGACGAAGAACATCGAGAGGGCAGGCTGAGCCGTAACACCCAGGAGTTTCTCCATCTGCAGAGGATGGTTTTAGCGGTGAATGAGCGATAGGTACAAGGACTCACCTTGCCCATGATATTGGGGGCGGACTGGGAGACGCAAACCTCGAGCAAGACCAAGACATGCGCCGCTGCACCTAAGAAAATGAGCAGGCACAGATCGGGTTTGATCCACCCGCCCGAGCCGTCTTGAAGTAAGTACGAGCTGGCCGAGGTGAGGCCGGATACCTGACCCGAGGAGTAGAGATGGGCGTTATTGGATGCATGAAGGTAGGCATAGGTATAGAGGAAGTGGAAGACTTGTTGAAAGTACGAGATGAGCCCCTCATGAGTATGGCTGGGCATGGCGGCTCTGAGTTCAGTACAAGAGTGTTGGGATGGAGTTGTACTCACCTACATCTACACGCCTTTCCCATCGGCGTTATCCATGACACAATTGACAGCTTTGTTGTATCGGTCCATCCTTGCTTCTTGTATTCTGCGCTTCCGGACCGCGGGACTAAGGTAAGCGCGCGTGCAACACGTTGCACACGCCACTGGGATGCCTGGCAAGACGCGTAAACTCGGTTCATAATGATACACATGCATCAGTGAAGATGGGATATGAGTAGTAATATACATATGACTAGTGAGTGGCCTCAATCTTCACCGTCGTACATCTCCTGCCTGAACAGACCGACCTCACCGTATGGTCCGATACCGCCGCCTAAAAATGCCTTGCCACCGTGGCCTCCTATGCCACTAAGTCCGCCGGCGATCTGCTGCGACGCCGCGTGCATCATGGACATAAGATCTGCGCCAACGTTTCCCCAATCTTTCGATCGAGTCTGCAGAGGGGGATGCTTCGTCCACTGTTGCGGCTTCAGTTGATGGAGGTAGTGCCAGGTGAGGATAGATTGCATGCGAGCGTTGAATGTGAGGAATGCGTCAGGAGGCATCGTCTTCGGTGAAGCTGATCCTGGCTGAATGAGATCCAGCCACCGCTGTTCGAAACGAGATGAGTATGGCTGTGCAAGTGGCGTATATGACCTCTCGAACTGACCATGAAATTGGGATCGTTCTCCCAATCCTGGAACCCCACTGCACTCGCAGCTCGATGATTGAACATGACGAACTCCTGTCGTTCGTACGACAGCATGCAGCATTCGATCCGTGTACCGGGGTCGAAGCTCGAGGCCGGTATGAACTCGAGACCGTCATGACCCTCGCCTAGATCTCCTATAATGACGATCATGAAGCCCTGGAGCCTCTTGAGGGACGGCACGGCGGCGGCCATCTATATAGTCCTTGTGAGAACATAAGCTGCCGCGCCACAAGATGGCTTACCTTCTTTGCTTGGTACAAGAACTCTGTTCTGCTCTGAGCCACCATAACAAGGAAGACCTCCCTACCGAGTTTGTTCTCGTGTCCGTTGAGCCTGACCGCGCCATATTTGATGCGAAACTGCACGTCAGAGTTCTTGATTGTTGTCCGGGGTGCAACACTCATCGTGACCTTGGACCAGCCCATCCCGCTGACGGACATGTATCTCTTGACAGTGGACGCGATGGGAAAGGCGAACTCCTCCTCGAACGTTGGCACTACAGCGACCGCTCTGTGTTCCTGCGGCCAGAAATCAAGACTGTGTCACATTAACGTCAAGCATCATGAACACATGTCACTCCGCCCACTCACGTTAAGCAACAGATGAAAGAAATCCAGTGCTTCAGTATGCCGGTGTGCAAGTCCCACTGCCAGCTCCTCGCCAAAACATCTTGAATCAGCCAGAACTGTTGTTCCGCCATCCCCGTAATGGACTGAAGAAATACATGATGAATGAGCGAGAATTGGTTGATTCATGATGGGATTATCCTACCTTCATCAAAAGCCCGTCTCGATTGTTAGCCACCCACTGATTCTGTAGCTCCCAAATCGCCATGAAGGCCTCGCGCACGACCTCCTGCTCATCACCATCTGGGAGGACCCGCCTGAAGAGGTCCCAAAATCGTCTGGGATCCCCCGGTTAGCGGAGGCCACGCCAACCTTCTGGGCAGAACCATAGGCCTCCAGGTCTCGGATGACCTGCATATTCTGACCGCGGGGGTCATGTTCATCTAACGAGGTGTTGGCACCGAACGAGGTGTTGGGGGAATAGATGTCTGAGTCCGGCGCATAGGAGTGAATGCTGTCGTTTGTGTCAGGGACCGACGGCGCAGACCCGTAGTCCGAGTCATAATCACTTCCGTAGTTAGCGCGCCGGGGGGATCGTGGTGGCCAGACATAGTGAGAGTCGGCAGCCTGCGTCGAAGTCAAGAGCGTAGGTTCGTCAGCCACTTGTGGGCCATGGGAACAGCCCGGGGAAAACACACTACAACTCCGAAACCGGAACATGTACCACCACGGTCTTAGTCTCTCCGTCAAGGTATTCAGAAATGCAACTTACCGATTCAGCCTTGCTACGGCTCGCGGCATGCTTGCCTCACGACAATCATCGGCGATGTGTTATGTCAAGGGAATAGGGCGGGAGTCGGGCATCGCGGTAGCGCGACATTTGACGCATCATGCAGGCCAAAAAAGGCAGGTCCGCCGTACCGCTGTGAACCACTGTTGGTATCTCAACTGCAATAACAGATCAGCACGTACCCATCTGAGTGCACAAGATGCATGAGTCACCATCTTATGAGTATTAAGGAGGGTACACGGGCCATGGGAAAGCCGTGGGGCCATGCATGGACTCTCATGAGCCGTCCCTTGAGAGTGTGCAACACATTGCACACACCATAAAAGGCAAGTGCGTACTATACAACTCTCCTCAACGAATATCACCCTGGCAAATGACAGCAACATTACTTACTGGTGCAGCGATTGATGAGCGTGGCTTGTCAGACGATCCTTCATGAGTACAGACCATAGTCCATCTATGGTAGATGCAAGTGAATTACTGAATAACTGACGCTGTCACTGAACCGATACTGACGATCCCTACAGGATGAAAGACTTACCACAGACTCGAGGAACACGCTCATAGACGGTCCAGTGAATGCTAAGAAGGTAATGGCATGGATGGGATGCGGAAACCAGGGAAGTATGACATGGGCGAGAAAGCACGGCGACCTTTACCTCATAACTCGAATGAATGGGGATCAGACACCGGTACAAGCGACTTTACCATGCTCCGAGAGTGGTGAGCATCGCTATGTATTCCTTTGGGAGGACATAACACCTCTCCATACCACATGTGAGCACGCTCCAGCGACTACACTCCCGTGTTCTAATATTTCTTTGTATTGACAGCCATATTTCAAGCTCATGGCAAGAGGCAAAGCAAAGTCATGCCATTCGACGCATATTCCCCTTGGTAACGCTGAGGACAACACTTGCCCAGTGTGCGACAAGCCTCTCAAATCGGCTCAAGGGCTCATGGCCCACCTATCATCCGCTCAGTCTTGCAAGTGGTACAGGAAAGGAAAGAATCCGGAACCAAGGTGCGAAATCCCAGTGCTGGTAAACGAGGCTGCTCCTGCTACAGACATGGACATGGACGTGGACGTGGAAGACTTCCGCGACGTCCTTGAGATGAGGGACTTGTTCCGGTTCACACTTCCCACCTCGGTCCACTCACCCATTCCAACTGAGGGTGAAGCCTCGTCGTCGTCATCCACAGGGGCCCTGCAGCTCAGCCGTTTCCCAATCCACCCGGACCTGCCTTGGACGATGATGACAATACCAGAGTTGAAGAAGAGGACGAGCTCGCGGGCAAGGTGATATGAATGGAGGAAACAATAGTGAAGACATGGAGGGCCTACTTCGGAGAGGACGAAGAAGGAGTGGACCTGGACGAAGAGGACCGAATGGACGTGGACGGCGAAGATGAGGCTCAGAAGCCGCTAGACCCGAACCAAAAATGGAGACCCTTCGCGTCCGAGCTCGACTGGCGAGTAGCCATGTGGGTTGTTCGAGAGGATGTCGGTCAGAAGTCGCTCAATCGGTTTCTGAGCATACCGGGTGTACGTGTCTCTCCATATCACTATGCTGGACCAGCCCTAACTCCGAGTGATGGATCTTAGGTGGTTGAAAAGCTCGGTCTTACGTTCAAAGACGTACGCGAGCTCTTCATGAAGATTGATGCCATCCCGGAGATGGCGGTGTGGAAGACATCGTCTCTCGCATTCCCGGACAGGCCGGATGAGAAGCATCTCGTTCGATACCGAGACATCCTTGAAGCAATCAAGGCGCTGCTGGGCAACCCGTCCTACGCGAAGTACATCGTGTATCGCCTGAAGCATGTCTTCACGGATCGGTCGAGGACAAAGCACATTTTCACGGAGATGTGGACAGGACTGTGGTGGAACGCGGTGCAGGTGAGTTGCAATCTGATTATCTGTATTACTACAGACAATTCTGATGAGCGAGTAACAGAAGTTAATTCCCCGGGAGCACGCCGTCGCCCCCATCATCATTTCCACCGATAAGACACAACTCACTCAGTTTGCGGGCAACAAAGCGGCGTACCCGGTCTATCTCACACTTGGCAACATCCCTCGGGCCATCCGTCGCAAACCGACAGAGCACACCTGCATTCTATTGGGATATCTCCCTGTGACCAAGATCGGAAAGAAGCAGCTTGGCAAGCGGGAATGCAAGGCAAGGGGTCAGAGACTCTTTCATGCGGCAATGTGTATTATTCTTCAGCCTCTCGTGCGCGCAGGTTTGGATGGCATCGAGGTCACCGGAGGCGATGGCTCCGTCCGCCATGTGCACCCCATCCTGGCTTCTTACGTGGCTGACTATCCAGAACAATGTCTGGTGGCGTGCTCAAAGTACGGCACCTGTCCGAAGTGCATGTGCCCCGCAGACAAGCTGCAAGACGATGCCCTCAAGGACCCGCGCACCCCCGAGGAGACGGAGCGCATCATCAGGGAGGCACGAGCTGAGGGAAACATGCCCGCCGCCGCCGACACCCTGTGCATGGAACAAGAGGTCAGCGGCGGTGTGAAGACACCATTCTGGACGGACCTGCCGTACACTGACATCCACATGTCCATCACCCCGGATGTGTTGCATCAGCTGTACCAGGGGGTGTTCAAACACCTGGTCTCGTGGTGCCAGGATCTCCTCAGCCCTGAGGAGCTCGACAACCGTCTCCGTTGTCTCCCAGGCGCGTACGGCATTCGGCACTTGAAGAACGGGATCTCGTCGCTGGCCCAGGTGTCAGGCAAGGAAAGGAAGGAAATGGTGCGCATCCTCCTAGCCTGTCTTGTTGGCAAGATACCGAAGGCGGTCATGCTCACCTTCCGGTCCATTCTCGACTTCATCTACCTAGCGCAGTACCCGACTCACGACGACACCACTCTAGGATATATGACGGACACTCTGAAGACGTACCACAAGAATAAAGATGTCTTGATCAAGCTTGGAATCCGGGAACACTTCAATATCCCTAAGTTTCACTCGCTGATGCATTACGTGGATTCCATCCGCCAGTTCGGCACCACCGACAATTACAACACGGAGATGTTCGAACGTCTCCACGTCGACTTCGCGAAAAAGGTGTGGCGCACCTCGAATCACCGGGACGAGTTCCCCCAAATGATGAAATGGATCACGCGTCGAGAGAAGATGGCCGCATACGAGGCCTTTCAAAAGGAGTGTCTAGTGGAGGAGGTATCAGAGGACTTAGACGGCAACCCTGAGGACTCAGAAGGGGCAGCTTCTTGTCCAGAAGAGGTTGTGGACGTTGGGAACAATGTCAAGACAGCTAAGTATCCTCCAGCGCCTCAGCAGCATCTAACTCGTATCCAGGAGCGGCACAATGCTCCTGGTTTCTCCACCGCCTTGACCGCCTTCATTAACAATATACAGCCATCCGAACTTCGACTGAACCGCCACGACCTCTCTCGAACGTGGCTACCTTTCGATCGGCTGGATGTCTACCACCAAGCCCGCTTCAGTCCTTTCGCGCTGTCCGACGGTAAAGAGGAGCAAGACATCGTCAAGTCTATCCCCGGCTCAGCTATCAAGGGAAGGAAGGCACGGTTTGACACCGTCATTGCTCTTGAGAACGGGGAAGCCGAATCCACAGGGGTTAGAGGTAGGACCAGCGGTTCAATCGTCACGGGTGTGCTGCTCACAAGGCCTGTTGTAGGTACACAAGCTGGAAGACTGAAGGTAATATTCAGGCTGCCTGAGAAGCTCCTGGCTCGCCAAGGCGGCGGATGTTCACCCTCATGGTGGCCCAAAGGACCACTGGCTTACGTCGAGTGGTATTCGAGATTTGCAAGTGCCGCGGATCCCATCCACCTCATGTACACTGTAAATCGACCACCGCTACGTTCTGACGGCCTTCCACCTGGGCAGATTATTCTGCTCTCACAGATACGTCAGTCGTGTCAGCTTGTGCCCGCCTTCCCCGACGGGTCCCGAGGTACAGTGCCCCAAAATTGGACCTCGGAGAACGTGCTAGACGAGGCAAACCGACTCTTACTGAATAATTGGGCTGGGATGTACGCTTATCAGACACTGTGGTAGTATATTGTATCTACATAATTGTATTCTACTGTTTGAGAAACCGCTAGGTTTGCTTGCGAGCGCTTGTGACCGCAACTTCGCCGCCATCATAGTGCGAGACACTGCTTTACACTCCTCCGGCAACTTCCCACTTCAGCAGACAGCTCGTCTTTCTTGAGACTTGGATGTGCTGCTTACACAACAACCCTCGTGCTTACAATCCAAATCACTTGTTCAGCTTGCTTTCCTCACCGTCATGGTTCGCCCGGATCCGCGAGTGCTCCGGCTGCTCGCTCCTGCTCTTCCAACCTATGCAATCACTGCTCACTACTCCCAACCATGTCTGCGAGTTGGGCCCGAACTCAATCACGTCACCGTGGTGTGCCTGCAGAGAAGGAATTTCGGAGTTTTGTTTGACTACGTGTGTGAAGTTTGTTCTGTACATTCGGATGAATTGACATGCAATTGAATTCTAGTGCGTAAAGAACGACTGCTCCGTCTGTCCGGCCACGCGCAGCAACGAGCAAGGGACGAGGAAGGATCGCATGCAGGCTCTGGCCGCAATAGACCTGTTGGATCCTCCAGCAACGCTTGGCGGATGGGTACTCTTGGGGTCGATACTAGAGAGTCACGTCGGGGCTTTCATGCCGAAGTGTTTGCAGGGGCCGTCTGTGAAAGTAGTTGTGGAGACATTGGTATTTGCCTTCAATGGTGAGTCACACTCTGTTATCTAGCTTCGTCGAGCTCACGCTGTGCCATTTGACTCAGGACGGACATGCTCCTATGTCGCTCCCTCTCATATGGGAGATACACGGCGACAAGATCAAAATCTCACTTGATCAACCCCTCACCATCCAGCTCTTCCGCGGGCTCAACGTGTGGAAGAGTCATTGAGGTCCACTTGACGCGACTTTCGATTTCTTCCACGTCGACACCGAGAAGTTTATCCCCGCGTGTTTGTGCCCCCAAGTCTCCCTCCGCCTCACCTTACCTCTGCGGTACACGCCTGTATTCAAAGACACGGCGGTATCCATTACCGTGCATGCCACCGAATACGCTCGCGGCATGAAATCTCTCCATCCCATGTGCTCAATGAAGGCGGAATTTACGGCCCTCGACTTCTATTTCCCCGTGGACATGCCGCAGCGCCGCCAATGCTTCAAGGCGGACTGGAGAATTGAGCACCGTGGCAGCCCCCAAGGAACGGTCGCAGTGCGACCTCTCATGGGCGAAGACGGGTGTACGGTGGAAGACCTCGTTCCGCCAGAGGAAAACTCGGACTGGGACTGGGACTCGAACTCAGACGGATCAGACGCGGTAGATGGTGAAGGCGCAATGGCTGTTGCTGATGGCATAGAGGAGCCGGGCGCGGTGGAAATCTGGGAGGTTCTCCCAGGAGGCAAGGAGATCCCGTACGTCGAGAGCGCGAGGGCTGCTGAAGAGCTTCAGCGCTCGGAGGTGGAGGTCTGGGAGGTCAGGCGAAACGGCTTCCTTGTTCCATGTATCTAGTGAGTGAGGCGTGTAAATGTGATGAATGAAATCAATGTCGTTCTCAAATAATTGGAGCCGATCAATGAGCTGCAAGCGTTTGTCAAGGGCTTAAACCTGCTTCCGCTACGTCAGAGTAATCCCAGAACAGGTACACAATCCAGCATCACACAATTATTCTTCATAAATGTGAGTACTTGCGCTCGAAATTACATCTCTACTTATTCCTACCGCGTGGGCCAGCCACGGGCGCTTCATTGCAATAAGACGCGCGTCGGCCTCCCACGCGCTTTCCGTCTCTTTCAACCACTTACGGTCGCTCATCACTGCTTCAGTCGCTTGCTCGCCCCATCCCCTCCGCTTATTCGACTATGGCTATCACGCGTATAGATCAGAGACTCCTCAACATTATCTGTAACGTGGCTACGTTACATTCACGTAGTTACTAAATTAGGACAGATAATGTATCTACGATCGCGTGCGTAGGCGCCGTCCCTTAAGGACGGCGCCAGCGAGTGTGGGAGTTCCAGCTCCTTTACACTCGTCACCAATACCGCACCACTCTGGAATAGAGACTGGGTGCAGCGTATCATGGCGTGAGTAAGGGGGCGTTATACTTTTTTACGCTCCTTCGAAAGCTCGAACTTCTACACAGAAGTGCGTGCGGTCGAATACGACGTTGAGAACGTCGAGCGCGATCTATCATAACAAAACATCACTCCATCACGGAGTACGACCGAACAGGCAGGCCGCTACCACAAAGAGATAGCCGCGGCCGCTTTCAAAAGAAAGCATCCTCGATGACGACCAATACGTCGTCACCAACTGCCCCGAAAGGCAACCCAAGTGATGAGGCCTCGACCAGTAAGGTCGAGGCCCCAGTGCAACCACATGGGACCTCGTCGTCTCCTTCCACCAAGAAGGAGCGTGAGGACCTAGGGCCCGAAGAAGGGGTATCGAGCAGGAGGGCTCAGTCATCTCGACGAGCGACTTCTACCATACGACCAACACACAGGATGCGCCTGCAAAGGAGCATTCTGCTGGATCGAGGACAGAACAGCACAAACCTCGATCCCGAGCTTCCAGTGCAACCGGTTCTCGAACAGGATCCCGTACGGGATCCCGTAAGGCGGCGAAAGCCTTGAGCGTACTTGACGACTTCAAGATATCGCTGGGCCAGCTCCGCGAGGAGTCTCGCCAGAATGCGGCCAACTTCGACGCGAAGTTGGCTGCAGTATTGGAAGACGCAAACCAGAAAATGACAACTGTCCGCCAGGCAGCTGAGATGTCCGATACCGACGCAGTAAGTGACACGGAATCGATACAGACGTCAGGGGTACGGGACACAGTACCCCAACCTGAGGACCAGGAGGACCCGGTTTTCAAGGCAGCCGCGGAGGCCATCAACTCCCCTCGCCAGCGAGGAGAGTTAGAAGAGGAGTACCAACAACGTCGGGCGGCAAGGGACAGGATCCCGATACCGACACGGACGACTACTACCCCGAGTAGTAGTCGCCAGGTAAGATCACCTTACCGGACGTCAGGGCCTGAGTATGATAAGATCCATTATCACTACCGGGCCCCACCGCAATCGCCCTCTCCTACCATGGTCCCACCGTTCAGGCGACCGTCGGTATCGAGCAGCAGTGGGACGGATGAGGGCACTGAACCAGTAACCCCATCCCCCGCGGAACGGAAGCATGGTACGACCCCTCGTACGGAGGGCGTCCGACCGCAGGCCAGCGCATCTCAAAAGACCGCTGCTCGCGAAGAAATCAGGAGGTACTTCCGCGGGGAAGTACCCAAACCTGATAACAGATCCACGTACTCCCGAGAGGGAGTACGAGTATCATTCCCACCCGGAGTAGGGGGTTCCAGTTCGTCGTCTGGACAGACGAGCCATGAGTACGACTACCAAGGCATGTACTCCTACATGCAAGGTAGTAGTACTCATGAACACGGACCATCCACATCCAAAAGGGACATGGATGGCCCAGCGCACAACACCAGTCGCTCCCTCGATCGATGCCTAGGCATGATTGAGGAACTGGTGAGTGACGATCCAGACGGTGAAGCACCAGGTTACTTGAGGTCGGCCAAGATGGACAAGCCGTCCACCTGGGCCGGCACCGATGACCTATACCGGTTCGAAGAATGGCTCTTCGAACTATTAACGTACTTCTCAGTGCTCCGGATAACGGGTCCACGTTTAGACATGGACCGGTTACGGCTCACCGGGAATGTGTTGACTGACGGTGCCAAAGATTGGTATTTCCGTCATGTACAGTCTCCTCGACGGACGAGGCGACATTGGCGGTTCGCGGAAGCAATCGCCGCACTGCACCGGCGATTCATTCACCAAGATGGTGAAATTAAGGCCGCCGAATCGTGGAATAAGGTGACCTACCACAAGAGTGGTGGGGTCACCGAATTACTCGACAGGATGTCCCAGTACGCCGACCGCATGACGGAGCGTCCTGGGGACTATGAATGGAAGCGACGATTCCTAGCGGCACTACCTTCAGACATGGAGGAGACCTTACGAAAGGTCTCCTACATCTCGCCCGAACGATCGTCGTTCGGTAAGATGGTGAAGGCAGCAAGCGACTACGAGTTTGCGATGTTGTCGGCGGCGGCCTCTAAGACGACCCCGTCAACCACCACCACCAGAGATGGTGGTGGTACATCGAAGCCCGTTGCCCCAGCAGTCCTGGCCGGTCGAGCCAGGACGACTGGTCCGTTCGCTCGATTCATGACCCGACCAAGTGTGGGGGCCGTGGTGGTGTCGAAGCCAGCACCACCGGTGTCCAAAGCGGTGGTGGTCAGCGACAAGGGTCCGCCGAAATCCACACCAGCGCCAGCAGGGAAAACGACCACTGGCGCGAGTGGTAGCACCATAGTGTGCTGGAGTTGCGGCGAGCCCAGACACACTTCTCGAGAAAAGGAGAAGTGTAAGAACGGTGGCAGAATGCCGCCCAGCAAGACGGGTCGCATGTATGCGGCACGGATTGCGGAGGACAGTGGGGAGGACCAGGATGATGGATTCGTCCATGTCCAGCCCGAGTCTAACGAGCACGTCGACCAGACGGTGGACGTGCCAGACTACGACAACGGGAATGTGACCGACCATCCTCAATCTGAGTATGGCGGGTCGCAATACGCATACGACGACCCAGGAGACGAGTCTCCTGTGGACGAGTATGACGATGAGGATGGAGCTGTAGCGCAGCTCGGGCTCATGACATTCCGAGCAATGCGCGTGGAACACCGATCGTCGACTCGGGTGAGCCAGGAAAACCTGGCACACCCATCGTATAATGCCGCCATGACGGACATTACTCGAATGAGTGCGATACAAATGCTACCGCCAGCCCGTACCATGAAGGCGGCCTGGCTGTACGACTCGAAGATCCGAAGGACCTCCGAGCCGGCGGACCAGCCAGAACACAGTCCCGAAGCGACTCGGACGCTCTGCGCGGAGATCGACGTCAATGGCGTGAAGGCGTACACGCTGTTCGACACAGGGTGTACGACCGATGCCATGTCCCCGGAACTGGTGTTCCTGGCCAAGGCCGACAGGGTAGATCTGAGGGAGCCCCTCAATCTACAGCTAGGTACGAAGGGTAGTCGCACCACCATCAACTATGGAGCACGCCCCCGTATCCAGGTCGGCCCCGTGAACGGTGTCAACTACATGGACGTAGTTGACATCGACAGGTACAACGTCGTTCTGGGAACCACGTTCTGCATCAAGCACAACGTGGTCCTCGACTTCCGCACCCACCAGATCTGGGTCGATGGGGTGGCAGTGCCGGCCTACACGGTGGCCCAGGAAGCGGAAGTTCTGGAGCATCGGCGGGATACACGGAGTGCGCGACTGACGGCACAGCTCCGCCTCGCGTCATCATCGAAGCAATAGGGTTGCGCGGCGAGATCCACCGCGGTGCAACCCCCCCAGTCTCGCTTCGCTGAGGAAGGGCCTATGGTCTCAAGGGGGGAAGGGATCGACGTCGCCGTCGATTCCTTGGTGGAAATAGCAACGAAAGAATCGATACCACGTCCAAAGTTGGAGGTGGTACCAGAGAAAACAGTGAAAAAGATGAAAGTACCACGCCCTAGTATGGACGTGGTACCCAACATTACAAAAAACGGACTGGAAGTTCGTGAAGTACCCGATCCACCACGTCTGAAACCAGAGGTGGTGAACCGTCGGAAGGTACCGGTGCGAACAGGTAACCGACACGACACCGCAATGCCGGACATTGCGGAGGCCAATGTACCTATGGTACATTCAGCACAACAACCGCGTCGGGACTCACTTGGTCGATTGGACCCATTGGGTACAAACGATGAGGTAGACCGAGCCATACTGAACTTCCTCAAGGATGAGGAAGTTCGGCAGACACTCGACGACGACCCGCAGGTCGTCGCGAACAGGGAACAATGGATGAAAATGTGCGAGGACATCATGTGTTCCCCACCTCTCGAATTACCGCCGTTTCGAGATGTGAACCACCGCATACCTCTCATCGACCCTGACCTGTCCCTCCGGTACCACCTGCCCAGGTGTCCGGAGGCCATGAAACCGCAACTGCTCGACAAAATCGAACGGTACACGGCGGCAGGATGGTGGCAACCCATCCAGACGTCCCAGATCCCGAATGGTCAAGCAGCCCCACTTCTTTGCATAGCGAAGAAGTCGGGCAAACTACGTACAGTTATCGATGCGAGGAAACGCAACGACAACACGCGGAAAGACGTGACGCCTTTCCCTGACCAAGACCAGATCCGTATGGATGTGGCCCGGGCGAAGTTCAGGTCAAAGATTGACCTGTCCGACGCGTACGAACAGATCTGTATCGTGGCGGAGGATGTCTGGAAGACGGCGTTCTCCACCCCATACGGCACGTTCATCAGTCTGGTGATGCAACAGGGTGACGCCAATGCACCAGCGACTTTCCAGTCGCTGATGACTACAATATTCCGGGACTGTATCGGCCGGTTCGTCCACGTATACTTAG